GAAATACTTGAAAACCTTTCCAAAGCTGATTACTATTATGTACTTAAACGTTGCATACTTTCTATCATATTCATCCGGAAGTTCTGAGATCAAGAGCAGAAGCTTCACGAACTGAACGTAACCGAGCCGTTGGAAGACATTAAGGTACGTCAAGAGAAAAAGCATTCATGGAATAATGAGTAGAAAGTAATCTGTTACTTTTGATGGAGGATAAAAACCACGAGTTGATTAATTTTTGGAGATCGGGAGAGCGTTCTAACTAGTAAAATAGCGGCAACAGTTTTTTCACTTTTCTGAATGTAACTGTGTGAAATGTTGAGAAATCACTTGAAAAGATACTACAGCAAGAGAGGCGTGTTTATAGAAGGAAATTACGAAAACCGAGAAAGCTATTACTGAACAAAGTTTCAGTTTGAAACAATCAAACCTTCAGATAGCAAAGAATAGAATGAGCAAAAGCACGGCATAAAGAGATGAGAATAAAGATCAGAAAAAATGAGCCATAATGTTCGTGAGTTTTTCTTATATCACTGGCACGGATTCAGTAGTGCAGGAAAAGTAAAAACTCCACACCTTATCACAATAGTGAATGGAACTAAATTACAGCTGAGAACTTTGAAATGCTTCAGTGTTCACACATTAATGTTTTTGAACTGAGAATGCTGGTGACACTTGTCTAGACGGGATGTACACGAAAAGGAAATAGAGAAATAAATTAAACTGCACTCAATGTTTCAATGTTATACCTGCACCTCCTGGGACTATCAACTCGAAAGAATAAGGAGTACAAGGGTTGTATTCAATGTATTACATCGTTTCTGTAAAGCAATTCCCGTGAAGGATTCAAAAAATGGCTTACTCCGAGTAGTCAATCTGTGACGGTAACGAAAATGGGAACGGCTATAAGCAGTATTCAAAAACTCACTCCGGTTCGAGAAAACAGAACAGCGAACTCATCCATACTATCGTTCGGAGAACATTGATAGATCTGAAACGAAAAAAATCAGCATCAAGGAATATTAGTAAAACCAAAGCATTTTCTCAATCAACGCTTAGAAATGCAGTTGAAAGCGACCAGATGTGGGTTACATTAAAAGACATGTAGTCTCTGCCATCGAGTAAGAGTTCGAATTTATGCGATACAAATACGTGAAAATAATTTCCAAACGGTTTTCTTGATGTCATCAGTATTACCTGTGGTATGCAGCTGAACAAAGCGAATTATAATAGACCTGGTTCAAACAAGCAAAGGAGCAATTTCGTACTTCGATACCTCAACTAGAAAGAGCAATTCTACTTACGAAATAGTTGATAAATGATAATGTCGTACGATGTCATACATCATACATTGTATGATTCGTGGTACGTTACTTTCCGTAGTACACTAATTGACCGATTTTGCATTTAAATTTTCTTATCAGTACGTATTGCTTTTTGATGGCACGTGCCTTAAGTAGTTAAGATTCTACAACATACTTTCAGGTTGAACTGTTGATTGGAGTAGGTTGAAAATTATAGTCTAACACCTGGAAACACCTAAAAACATTCCAAGAACTGCTACAGTTGTATGAGATCGAGCTAACATCCGAGCCTGAAGAGCCTGAAAATATAGAACTGAACGAAATTCAACGTTAAGCTTATTCCAACTTGCACAACTAGCTGACTTGGACGTATCTCGTTTGCTAACAATAACGTTTCTGATGTACACAACATAACAGTACACTCTGAGACAAAACTCAATAAATAACTGGATTATCAACTCTACTCTGGCATTAATACATCCGGCAGTCCTAACACTATGTGATCGGACTTCTCTTATCTCCTTCCACTGCGTTCTATTGTGCACCTGTTCTGCATTCCAAAAGACTAACAATTCTTCAAGGCCTAATGATGTTGCAGACGTTTGGAATAAACCCTGGAATCTTTCATATCCTGCTTCACTGAAATTGATTACTGTTTGAATGTAGGATCATCAAAATTTCTGTGCACTTACACGCAAATCGTTTTTTTTGTAACACAACCGCTCTGTGCACCCTAACCTGCTTAAATAAGGTTTTGCCGCCCGATTGTATTCGAATGAATGCAACTGTATACTTTGCCACTTCACAACGTTTCTTGTGAATTTCACTGTTCAATCAAACCTAATCTAACTACTACTGCAGAAATGTACGCAAGAAACGACTTCTGGTCGCTTGAAAACACTCGTTTGATACTGATAAGAGTTTGTGCAAGGTTTTGATGTAGAATAGAAGACTCGTTAAGTTGAAGGAGGTAGGAGCAGCAACAGGTTTCCCCACTTTCTATCTAAATTGGACATAGGTACGTTCTATATATTTCACATTTATCGCAAACAGTTTGGGAACTAAACTACTTTCACCTTTTTCTTATCTCATAAGTCGTTATGATAAACTTGCGTCGGGGGCAAGGTCCACTTGTTAGCAAACCTACAACCCCGATTCGTGTGCGTTTGAACGATTTGAGAACGTTTTTGTGTGAGGAAGGTTGTTCTCACATTGTTTTGAAGTCTCTCTGCCTAACTTCTCTTTTTTCACGTGTTTACACTTCTGACCCTAGCCTTGACTGAATATTTGGCCGGTTTGAATATTGAGCTGCAACTCCTTTTCAGAAGGCCATGCTCTTTGTTTAAGAAGTTCACAAGAATTCAAACTTAGTGGTTGATTTCTCATGAGCTAGGATGCTGATTCTATATTCATATGAGAACTACACCAGAATATTTCCATTTACTCGTTTCCGACATATTGTTATCAGAATTCTGCAATTTGTGTGAAAAAGTCAGTTCCTCTTTTTAGGCTGGTCACATCAAGCAGTTAGCCATCATCAGCTAGCTAGGCAGAATGATCTCGTGACTAGGAGATGAAATAGCATTTTGAAGAAAGAGAATCGAACAAGTGTAAAAGAGAGGAGGGAAATAGAAAAACGATATGAACACTGGGTGAGAGAGGCAGAGGACAAAGAAGAAGAACGAACGTCAACAAGAGAGACACAGAATAACAGATGAGATTGAACGCGTCGCGTACATGGCGCGTCATATTCGTGCATAGTGTGTACGACAATGACGACAGATGGCCGCAGTGAGTGGGAAGGATGACTAGACTGAAGTAGTGTGCGTGCGTGTGGCGTCTGCTGCCTGGCCGACCCCAATCGGGTAGCGAGGTCCTTGTTAGTCAATTCAGCGTTTTCCTTCGTGCCGGCTTAATCCTAACTATCTCCCACCACTTGCCGTGCTATACACCACCTCTGAAACAGGCAAACTACAAGAGCTTTTCCTCACTTACATCTGAACGTTTTTTCTTTCATAATATTCACGTGACGACGCTAATCTTATATCTTCGTAGCATTTTCCGTATATGAAATAATCTTATTCACAGTCTTATTATGGGTCTACACCATTCACTTCAACCGACCAAGCAACTAACCAGCAGCCAATTGATTGTCATTCGCGCCCGTTTCCATCCATCAGAACCTTGTTTTACCTGAGCGACAATGAGAACTTGGTGGTGTATTTCGATTTTCAAACTCATACATACACATTCGTTTTTGTGAACAACCTACGTTTCCCTTAACCATAGAGCCCAATAGCAAAATGAACTGTAACTCAACGCCATTGGCCTAACCTTTCCCGATCGTCCTGACGCTGTTCTTATCGTTGTTCCTCGTCCTCGCCGCACAATATTTATACATTTTGCCAGTCAAATGCTACTGAGCGTCAATCTTCATACATATGTTTTCCGTCCTGGTTTCATGTTGTTCCATACGTTTATCGTTTCAGTCGGATTTCCTCCTGTTTTCAATATGGAAATCTTTTCAAAATCTGCACTTTCTATCGCATTTTTCTTGTGTTTAATGTTCTTATCACGCTTATTTTCCACCATTCAGATCACTCTCGAATGCTTACAAGGGCTGTTGGAAATCGTGATCGGGATATGTCCGCAGTAATTCTTTCATCTTTGAAAACCGAAATGTTGGACGGTACATCTTTTTTGAAATTCTCCATCTGTTCTCTTTTTTCATAATATACACAATTGTTGTATGACAATGCTGTATATCCATTTCGAAACGAGACATGATGATTGTCATACCTTGTTCGGCAAAGTTCACATACATTTTTTCAGATGATGAGCAAGCCCCTGAAAGCATTCAAAGTTCTACATCCCCTAACCACTCAAAGAAAGTTGTAACTGCATGGAAAGGTCAAATTGTTCCTATGAATGGTAGGGGACGGTTTCATGAGCTCTTTGTAATACCATCTTCCTAGATCATTCTGATAAAGAAGCTGTCCTCTACAGCGATCCTAATTCTAATAAACATTACCGTTTCATTTTGCACAGAAGAAATCATCAAAAAGCTGATAATTATGCATGTGCTAGATGCAAATCGCGCAAAAAATACGTTCGAATTCTAGTGGGTTTGCTGCTGATATGCCATCCTCTCAATTGTGTGCTTATAGATAGCCGGCGAATACTTTCTTGAGGATCCAGCATCGCTGGATCATATATGTTACTTGAACCAAGAAGAGTAAGTTGCTCTGCGCAGTTTCAAACCTCAAATTAAGTGTTCACAGGTTACGGGAAAATCGCGAACGTTCCATTGATCAGAAGAATAAGGATATGATGAGGGAAAAGCAGAAAATCAGTTAGCTCATTCCTCGTTTTCATGTCTAATTGCAATCTTTGTAGCGGCTCAGTTACAATCAGCTAAAGATTTCAAGGAACAGACACCTAACAAACAAACTGATAAAGGTCTTTTGCCTGCAATTGCTCGTATACTTGAGCACGATGATCCCAGTATTCTCGAGTGAGCAATGAATTCACTCAGTAGTGCATCTTTATAATTTTTTTCAGCAGTTCATCTGAATCTCTCAGAGACGAAGGAGAGCTCCGAGATAGTCTGTGCTCGTCCATATTAGATACCTTATTAAAAAATATGCCTAAGCAGGAATCTGGCGAACCACAAATTAAAAGATTACGAAAAGAAGAAAAACCTGATCCAGATCCTCAGGTAAACTCAAGCCTTTCTAACAGTAAGCAAGAGGGAACGTTTTTAGGAGCCTACTCCTCAAAACGCACAAACGCAAGCCTCGGATGTGTTCAGTATCAGTTTGAAGCGTGCCTTAGATGGAATCTTGCCAGAGAATAGGGCGAAAGCTGAAAACGAAATACTACGATATGTATACAGCACGCTCTACGCTAAATATGGAGCTACTTAATGGTTTAACTATCGTTTAATACTAATTGACTAAGCATTGTATATAATACTGTGAAATTCTTGCTCATATTTTAATGGTCTTAGAAATCCTGTACAGAAGACCTAGCCAATCGAATTGGTTATTCTATATATGTTCTCATTTGTTTTTAATCATATCAGGGCTTATCGTTTGATCACCAAGTACTACACACATTGTACTGTTTAATGAAAGTTGAAATTATTAACTTTTTCTCTTATAACCTATTTTCCATTACAACACGTTCAGGGGCGAAGTCCATTACCCCTATCGGCATACTCTCCGTTCATCCCTCTCTCTTATCAATTTTATAATGTTACATGCGTGTACTGTGCCCAAGCCACTTAATGTGAACTATCCTCACTCGTGCAGTTTGAGATGTTAATTGTGAATGTAGTTTCATTTCATTTTTAAGGCCGTGACGGTGCCTAATCAGCTCTCTCGCTGTAATGACCAAGCATGCAATAGTTTTGGCATTCACACTTCTTACGTAAAATTGACTCCGAAACTTTTATCAGTTGCCCTTCGATCGCGCGCATAAGCGAAGCAAGTGGTGTGATCGACGCACCACTGTCATGTCTCTTTTCGTCCTCTCTCAGAAATCTCATTTCGATCTTTAATGTTACTTTTAACGAAGCCTTTCTCTTCTACTTCATACTTTTTTCGAAAAACTTTTCACTTCCCTTATTTTCTTCTTGTCCGTCGGATAAGTATCTGTAAGACATCTTCGGAACAGGAAAAATCATGTTGTTCACTCCATTCAATATATCGCTATATCCCCCAGTCCTGAAATACACCAATTAAAGGTAAAAATGCCAAGCGAACAAACGTTCTATGACGGATCCGTTCTTTTTGAGCCTCTGGCGGATGTCACAGGAGTATCCGTAGACAAGGTATTCTGTGAAACTCAGTTCATTCTACAAGTTCTGCTGTTCCAGATCAATTTCGTTATGTGCATGTTTGCTTCGCTGCCCTTATCTTATGTTTATTATAAGTTTTTGGCTCCTGGCAAAGTATCTCGTCAGGTAAAAAAATATCAAAATTGAACTAACAGTATGAACTCCAGACTCGGTCTCTGGTTCCTCTAATCATAGGATTATTTTTCTGCTATTTCTGTTTTGGAAGGTATTTTTCCATTAGAGAAACCGTTTTATAATTTCCTCAGAGCAATTAAGCACCTGCTGGCGAACATACTGGTTAGTTATGGTTTGATGTACGTCATCCCTCCTAAATACGTCCATTTGTGAGCTTATGAAATTTGACATCGATTACTTACCTCATTGCAGAGCTGTTTTTGTTTTCTCAGTTGGCTATTTGCTTTTTATTCACTTCTATAGATGGTTATTATTAACATCATACTATCTCGATGTTACTGGTCCTATTATGGTTGCAGTTCAAAAAGTTCTCTTCTATTGGGCCTGATCATTACCTCGTTTCCTTTTCAGATCACGACTGTGGCTTTCTCTCTGCACGATGGAAGAGGACGCAAGCCAGAATCTCTTTCAGACTTACAGAAGAAGGAGGCTATCAGAGAGATTCCTAACATTATTGACTATCTGTCTTACACTCTAAACTTCCAGGTTATTTTTTATTCAATGTTTTCATTGAATTTTCGAAATGGTTGTTCGAAAGAACACGCATAGTTTTGATTTGTGCGCTCACGTGACTTCCACGTCAACTGTTGCATTTATACATAAAGGTGCTCATGACCGGTTGTGATTCAATTTTCTTTCCAGACCGTTCTCACAGGCCCGTTAAATTATTACGCAGATTATATTGCTTACTTAGATGGAACCAATCTCACACCTGGCAAAGATGGAAAGGTTCCAATCAATTATGCAAAATCATTCGATCACATACTTACAGAAACCATCACCTACTGGAGTAGCCTTGCGCAAGATCGTTGAGTCCTTATTCTACTTATATATAGTAGTCTTCTACGTTGGAAAATACCCAACTGAAATCATTGCACAAGAAGAGTATTTGAACCTACCAATTCTTCAATGGGCTTGGTGGTGGTTCTTCACTATATTCCTATTCCGTGTCAATTACTATTTCGCCTGGACCTTTGGTACGTGATGGAATGTTTGATAGCATCGCATTCTGGTCTTTTAGCTGATGGTGTCTGCAATTTGGCTGGCTTCGGATTCTCCGGTTATAACAAAGAAGGAGAAGCTCAATGGGACTTGTGCACGAATGTTAAACCTTTAAAAGTTGAAATGGCTCAAAGTTTCAAGGAAACTCTTGACGCATGGAATACACAAACAGGTGGATGGCTTCGCCGTGTTGCCTATGACAGAACTCCTAAAAGGTAACATTTACTTACTTTAATACTATAATTAGAACGATTAAAGCATCCGTACTGTTGCCACTTACGTTCTGTCGGCCATTTGGCATGGAATATCAGTGGGATACTATATTACCTTCTTGTCTGGTGCTTTGATGACTTTGGCCGGTGCCACGGTAACTGAAAACTGAAATATAATTTGAAAACCTTCTTCAAGTTCCGAAGATCCATGCGTTTCCGTTTTGTGAACAACCCAACTCACAAGAGAGTTTATGATTTTGTGACATTCTTGGCCACAAAGGTAGATTCTGAAATTTTAGCGATACCTTAATATATTCTTAAAGGTTGCTTTGGCCTACTCGACGTATTCTTTCACCACCATGCATCTTAATCCTGGATGGTTCATTTACTCGTTCGTTATCAACCGATTCTCTCTAAGTTCACATTACACGTTACAGAAGGGTCTTTTTCTGCGTACACATTCTTGCTTTTGCAATTCAAGTAGCACTTCCATCCGTTTTTCCTCCAGAAAAGAAGAAGAAGCCTGAAGATGGAACTTCTAGCTACGCTAAGAAATCTGAATAGATAGATAATATAGTTATTGTAGTAGAGAATGTTTGCATGTTGCATGCTGTTTCAGTTTGTTTCCGATTACCAATAGACTTGCAACGTTTACTTATGTCAATGAGCTGCATGTTCCCCTGTCTTACCTGTTCTCAACTCATTTTACCTGTTCCAAATCGTTCTTTCACAGTTAGAATAGGCGTTTTAAAGGAAGCTAGATAACAGAATGATTCCGTGCTTGTTACCCAGTGAATATTACTAGTTTTCCATAATTATTCATCTAGATAAATTTTAGGAATTTTTTGTAATCAAAACATCAATTTCTGAGCAATCGATAAGCGGCCGTTATCGATTTCTCAGGTGTTCAATACAAGTTGTGTACTTGTGGTTGTTGTGAACCCTAGCGCAAAACAAGTAACATTTTCTGAAGTTCTGGAGTTTTCAAAATTTGGCAGAAACGACTCTACCTTCCTGCGCTCTTTCGTTCCACGGTGAACGAGGGCTTTGTTTATTTAGGAAACGCTCTGGACGAGGAAAGTGCGAGAACGTGTAGACGTTCGATTTCCTTTGGGCTCGATCGCATGTTTTGTCGGGAAAAATTTTGTTGTCCAACTATGCTTTCTCTTTATTTGCTTCTTAAAAACAATTAAATCATCTGAGCATGAAGAATCACTACCTCAACGCCTGTAATTCCCACTGCGAACTCCTCAATACTGATCTGCAATACATTTTATTTATCATCATATTGTTTCAGTTCCTCAAGTCTGTTAACCTACATTCGCAAAACTGTCAAACTAATGTTGTATTTTCATGGTCGTATCACAGACGAACTTCATCGTATCGATTACCTATTTTGTATTTCTGTTCTTGTGGTTTCCTTTTCGTGTTTTTATCTTTTCTTCCGTTTCGTCCTCAGTCATCAGGTTTATCAGTTCAGGCTTATGTGACTTCAGCCAAAAAATGCCTGGAGCTCACACATTTTACGATGGTTCAACAGTTCTTCAGCCTTTGGCTGCGAAGATAGGAGTGGATGTTGACAAGGCTAGTTTAGAATTTTGATCCTCTTGAATGTTCCTTATTAGGTTAACTTCACTTTGTGTATGTTCTCTTTCCTGCCCATTGCCTATATATATCGCCGTTATTTTCCAGCAGGGAAGGTATCTAGAAATGTAAGCATCAATCTGAAAATCTTCGGAGATTATTTATTTTATCAGGTTAGGTCTACCTTTCCTCTAGCTGTAGGCTTAATGATCAGCTTTTTCTGTTTTGGAAGGTGAGACATCTTTCTTATCTGTTCGTGCAATCCTATGTTTTCAGAGCAATGAAGCATTTATTAACGAATGCATTCATCAGTTATATCCTCATGCAAAAATCGCCGGTGTCGAGAGTGCATATGTAAATGGACATATTTAGATATAAGATACTCTCGTTCTTCTTACAGAGTAGTTTTTTCATTCTCAATGAGCTACTTGCTCTGGATCCATTTCTACCGCTGGCTTATTTTAGATTCCTTTAGCTTGGACATTACTGGACCCATGATGGTAGCAGTTCAGAAAGTAAGTTCTTTGTTAAAAGTTCTAATTAGCATTGTTCATTCCACAGATTACCACCCTCGCATTCAATTTACATGATGGCAAAGGAAGAAATGAAGAAGATCTTAGTGAAATCCAGAAGAAAGAGGCGATCCGGTAAGAGCGTATGCAATGTGCTCCGCATCCCCATTGTTTCAGAGAAATACCTTCGTTGCTGGATTATCTATCTTTCGTTTTCAATTTCCAAGTAATTTGACGAAAGAATGCAATGATTATCTATGATGGATCTTGCAGACTACCCTCACAGGCCCTATCAACTTCTACGCAGACTACTCCAAGTTTTTAGACGGGGAACATGTTGTACCCGATCATAACGGAAAAGTTTGTTGGAGCTATCATTACCAATAAAAGTTGTTTCTTATAGTTGCCTTGTCCTGAGAGCATTGCTTGGAAGAAGTTCTTTGAATCACTATTGTACTTGCTGATAATAGTTACACTCGGAAACATCTATAAACCAGATCAGATTTTAAGCGAAGAGTATCTCCCAGGTCATACCTTACCTTCCTTACGAGTCATTTTCAGATTTCTAGCTCTTCCCTATATGCAATGGTTTTTCTGGTGGTTCTTCACCATATTCCTGATTCGTTTCAACTACTACTTCGCCTGGACTTTCGGTACTGCTCTTACTCTTTCTTCACATAATTTTTTAAGCCGACTCTGTTTGTAATATGTCCGGTTTCGGATTTTCGGGTTACGATGAGCATAATGAAGCAACGTGGGAGTTATGCACGAACGTGAAACCATGGAAAGTTGAGGTAGGGCTTATGACGAGGAACATCCAATTGAAAGTATTAAGATGGCTCAAAGTTTCAAAGAAACGCTTGACAATTGGAATATTCTGACTGGTGGGTGGTTCAGACGCGTTGCATACGACAGGACTCCAACTAAGTAGGATTTTTTTCGAACATCCTCTTCCTCTCATGAAATTGTAGAATAAGAACGTTCGCTACGTATCTTCTCTCAGCTGTTTGGCATGGAATTTCTGCCGGATACTATATGACGTTCTTCACCGGTGCATTGATGACACTGGCTGGTTCTACGGTTCGTCAAACCGATACTTTTAGTGATAAATAAAATTTTTCAGTTCCGTCGATGTGTTCGCTGGAGATTCTTGGAGAACACAACGAAGAAGGCCCTATATGATGCCGTCTGCTTTATCGGTGCCAAGGTGATTTTGCTGAAAAAGTTCCGAATATTATCAATATTAAGGTTGTACTCGCTTACACTACGTATCCGTTTGTTGCTATGAACTTTGGGCCATCGTTCTTTGTATATAGGTGAAGAACAGTTGAAAACAAGTTAGGTGACTGAGTTTGTTCTTTCAGACGAATCTTTTTTATTGGCCACATCATTGCTCTTCTTGTTCATTTCGTTTTGCCTCGATTCGTCCGGCCACAAAAATCTACGAAGCCCGAAACCAAGAAAGCGTTGTAACTGGAATAGTGCCTTTTACCATTTTATTTTTTCTCCCGTTGTTTTCGATATATATATATATTTACTTATGGGTGTTAATGAAGATTCCCTGAAACCAATAGACTGTGATCTTTGATTCAACAGAATATGCTCACGCGACTTACTTTGTTAATGTTAGTTGAATGAGTCAGTTTAACATTCAACATTTTTTGAAACATGTACTATTGACACAGATTTTCCGTGTCTGCTGCTGTGGTAATAGAATGCAACCGTTTTGTGAACTCGCGGCTTTAGGATGAATCATGGTGGAATTGCCTTCGTCATTCTGAAAAGTAATCAGCATAGCTTCCTGTCATGTTATCGTCACATTTCCTTTAGTAAAAGCTAAGGTTCAAAGATCGCTCAAAATGAGATATCGATGAAAGGTACTTGGTAGCCCAAATTTAAAATACATGAGTTTTCCCGTTTGACTATAGAGACCAACTCAATTCCCGGTCGTGAGAAAATTCACTACTGAGAGCAGACTAAGAAGTCACATAATAGATATTTCCCTGTTGATTGCTGCAACACTAATCGTAGCTCTTCCGTTTCTTTAAAACGGGTGACCAACCATATCCATTTTTGGGCTTGCAGGACCGAATCCATCTCATTGTTTTCTGAAACGAAAGGGCTTTGGAAAAGCGTATGTTGCCTTTGCAATTGATCCAAACCCCAATTGAATTTATAGGCAGCGCTTTTCCAACACTGCCGTACACATTGATTTGTATATTCCTCAGATTCTAGCAACATCCTTGGTCATTCCACATGTCTTCGCTATTGAAGGACAAACTCATATCTCTACATATTAGCCTAGAACTTGTTTTTAAACTCCGTCTCATCTCTTGTATACTTGCCTAGCCGTATCCCTTCGTCATCTCTCATTTTTCATGATCACTCTGCCGCTGCCTCTTTCTCTGAGTCAGAAAGGAATAGTTAACATTTGTGAAGCCACAATGTTGGCAGACTCGAGTGGTTCCAATTGATCATTTTATTTCTTGTCTACTAGTGTCTTCTTCTGCTCTTCGCGTCGTACAGTTTTGATAAGTAACTGAATCAAACCAGCTACCTAGTAAATGCCATAACTCAGAAGCTCGACTTCTTGTCTTTCAAGTGGAAGTTCTGAAAAAAATTTTTTAGAAATATGACTGGCTTATTTACCCCGTGTTTTCAGAGAGCGGGTGTTGTTTTGCAAAGAATAGATTTCCTGTCTCTACTTAAATATTTGAACTCTTCTGCATTGATATTCAGAATAGATTACATGAAATATGATTTGCATCAGCCTATGTAGGAGAGGACGGCTACTGTCATAGCTGGCAAATTTTAATCATAATAACTTTCGCTCGAATTCTATTTCCCTGATAAATAGAGAATAAAGTGGATTCCATTAATTGAGCTTTCTTCGTTCTCGATAACATTTTGATACCAATGCTCATTTCTATTATTCTATTTGTGCGTTTAACGATGCCGATTATTACATGTAACTCTGAAGTTCATGTTGCCTGGTAACCTGAAAGATTTAAAGCCATTTTTCCATGAGACTAATCCAAATCTTCTCTTGAATCACTGACATTTCTGATCTTCCATGAGCAAAGCCGGCATCTTTAGGTAAAAATAAGATGAGTAGCAGATTAAAAAGATCACATACAAGATAGAGAGAAGGGAAGACGCGAGAAGAAATCAGTCGATGTATTCATTGTGACACAAATTGTCAACAGATGAAATTTGTTTGACTTTCTCCTTGCCGCTTGCTACTCGTCACAACTTGTGAAACATCTCTTCATTATGATGTCGCACTGCATCATCCAGTTTTGTTCTTCAGATTTGTTAGGCAATCTGCTCAGGCAACAATCAATCCTTCTGAATCATCTCTCTTGTCCTCTCTGTTCTGAAAAGTCATAAATGTATATTTTAAAAAATTTATCAGCCAACCCAGCCCCGTTGGGCGTTCATAACCAGTTTGTGCCATCCATTGCAAATTCGGCAAACCTTCGATCATTCTCTTCATTGTCCCACCAGTGTATAGTCACAGCATTCACTCCTCATTGCGTCTCCGTATTGGGGAGAATAGAATTGTCTGGTACATCACTGTCATGCCATTGTGAGAACCAGCTAACTAAGTCCCAAACATAACTTCTAATCGACTGTCTGTTTGCTCTTCAGCAATTCTTCAATCTTTAAGAATCATATTGATTACATTTCTGTTTTGCTGAAGTAATATTAAATTTTTTTTGTCTGCCAATGTATTCGTTCCTCATAAAAGGATTCTACAGAAGTAAATTGATATTGAATGGCTCCCCTTTGATTCGTGACCATACCTCATATATTGCTGCTTGATCGTTGATGCTAAACTTTTTTTTCAGATTAAAAATTCATCATGGCTCTTACCTGCACGGACATCCCCAAGTTCATTTGCGCCGTCATTTTCCCTGTAAGCAATACTATGCATACATTAAACATTTTACATTTCAGCCCATCGGAGTATTTCTTGAGAAGGGATGTACCTACCACCTCGCAATTAATATCCTTCTTACCATCCTCGGATTCATTCCAGGAATCATTCACGCCTGCTACGTCATTCTCGCTTATTAAATAAGAAGGACTCATGAACCCGCTTTGCCTATATCAAATATAAACGCATTTATAGTAAAGTCAACAAATGTATTCATTTTAAGTGTAAAAACAAAGCAGTATAATAAACTTTCAACAACAGACAACAAGTAACAATACCAAACAAAACTTAACTTCTTATAGAATTCTGCCCTTCTTACGCATTTTTTGCAACTTTTTCTTTTTCTTATCGTCCACTCTCTTCTGGAGGTTTGTGGTACGCTTGTCTTGTTTCTGAAAACGATTCTCAAGTGTTCGGAAAGAGTAAGATCATGTCTTACAGCAGATTTATCGGTTTTGACTTTCTCGACCCTACTATCCCATTTATCCAGCTTCTTCTGCTTCAATTTTTCCTTGCGTTTCAATCCTTTCTTCAGCAATTCAGCATTATCCTTAATAGCATACTTCTTTGAGAATAAAAGACAACCAACTCACTTTCACTTTCACACCTTCGGCTTTCTTTAAAACTCTGTTCCACTTTATACTTTCTTCCATTTCCTTGGCTTTTTCGGGTTCATTCTTATGTAAGTTAGCTAACTTCTCATCCCGTTTTTCAACCTGAACTACCCATTAGAGCTCACTGGACAACTACCTTACTGACCTTATTAAGAAGAGATTTATAATCCTTTCCAGTGAACTTATCTCGCTTCTCCGCATTGGTTGACTATAAGAATGAATGTTGAAATATATTTTATAAGGTTCAATGAGGGTAAGGGTAAAAATTACAGGGACGTGAATGCCCGGCTGTGTTGAAATCAGATTCAGGGAGGAGAAGACGGTTTTTGAATAAAACTAACTCGTTTCTTTCTTTCATCGTCCTTAACTATGAAATCGAACTTAGAATACACAATGTTCCCTTCTTCTGTTCTGGGTAACTCTTCGTCTTTACGAGCTACGACCTTAGGTTTAACATCAGCTCTGGAAAATTATTTCATAATTGAGACAGCTTGGTAATTCGAGAACTTTTCAGATGTAGAACCTTTCTCTTGAGCTCGTTTCTGCTTGCCTTTCAGCTTATTCATACGTCTCTTCATTTTTCTCTCTTCTACTCGCTTCAAAGCATCGGCTTTGACATGCGTTTTAGTTGTCGTACGAGAAACTGAAACAGTAAAAGTTGAGCCTTAGCTGACCCTGTGTGCTCATACCTTTCATCAACTCCAGCTTTTTCTGTAGTTTGAGCATAGCAACCTTACGGCTTTCAATAGGGTCCAAGGTCGAAATATCAACATTCTCAAATTTCTCCAATTCCTGTCATGAACAAATTAACAAAAGCGCAACAGTAAGGCATCCATACTTTGTCAATTTTTGATTTTTTTACATTTATGTCAGTTTTCACGGGTAGTTTCCTCTTCTTTCCTCCAGACTTTACATCAATCTAGAAAAAAATCTTCCTTTTGTTATAAATTTGTTGATAGACCTCCGTTTCGTCGTCAGTGGAATCGCTATCAGCATCAAATGATTTTTCTGGCGCAAGCGCAGGACTGGTGCCAGACTCCTCCTCCATTGAGGCGTCTTGTTCTTGCGAACTTTCTTTTCTTGGAGTTGGCCTGAGACACCATAAAATTTCAGTTTCAAAAATGGGTAAAATACTTGACGGCAGCAACTGGCTTTGATGCTTTCTTAATCTCATCATTGGTAGACTTGCCATTCTTTTTCTCACTAGTGTTAGACGATTTTGTTTTTTTCTTATCAGTTGGAAGTTCCTCCTCTTCTTCTTCTTCCTCCTCCTCGCTATCATGAGCACTTTCTTTAGTTTCAGCCTGGGAAATATCAATGCATGCGACAGAAAACTATTTTACGAACCGTGGCTTCTGATTGTTCGGGAGCTTTGCCATACTTTCGTGGACCGGATTTATCTTTCTTCTCAGGTTTTTTCAAGATAACTTTCTTCAACAATCATATTGAAGTAAACTTATTCATTACAACTAACCTTTGGCAGTGTATTAGATCTTCCTTCATTGCCTAGAAAATCAAAAACTTCGCTGACGGTCGAACATACTGTGCCCATTGCTCGTGCTACTTTTTGTTTTTTGAAGTTAGATAGATGAAGCTTCTCTTCTGAAAAATTGTAAACGTCGAATTGGAGGGATCAGATCTCTTACGTTCTGAGAGTTTCTCATCAACTATTTTATGTTTTCTTTCCCTCATGAAATCTAATGTATCCTCATCGAATCCCCAATTTGATATTGGTATGAAATTACAATACCTTTTGATCTTCAATGAACAATAGTAACATTAAATAAGAAGTTAAAACGAACTTGTAATTCCACAGATCTGATTTTCTCTAGAGTTTGCTCATCGTGAGCTGGGGCTGTAGTTCCTTCAGTCATCTAGAAACAAATATGAATAAGATACAACATAAGTTGCAGCTTTGAAGTAGATAACGGATAGAACCGGTAAGAAGAGAGTATGCAAAATTTAAAAAAAAAACAAGGATTATTATTAGGCTACATCTCAATAACGAATCTTCTGGACATCATAGATCTAAGCTACCTGTAAATTTGACAAGGAGGTTGAAACGACGAAAAGACTAACTAGGCATACCGGTCAGAATGACTATTACAACAAAGAAAAACCTTTTCAAGCGAGATCAATGAAGTAAAAGACGTACAAATTTGGGCTAAAATAAAGACGTAGTATAAAACTATAACCACAGGATGAAAATCATGTCATACATCTTTCTGTCAACATAACAATAATGAGAATTAAAAATTGCCGTTAACTTCTTCGACCGAATAACAGTGTTCAGATCAGCTTTAATCTTCTTATGCTGGAATGAGTTCTGTTCCTATCCGATTTTGTAATGCTTCTGTGCGATTTTGAATCACAACCCAGATATCCTCTGATAGTTCTTTAACAGTAGTATATCGTACACGCTTCTTATTGAAGACATCTACAACAAGTTGTATAACTTGCTCCTGAAGTTATTGATTGAAGAACTATAATGAAAGTTGAAACTAACTCTGAAGAATTGACATAAGTCTCTGAGACCTTCATCAGTTCCTAAAAAACCTAAGGCCAAAGAAGGAATGACAGCTTCTGATATGTTATAAAAATGTGAGATAAATCCGTTCGGGAACTGAAGTACAGAAATGCAAACATTATTCATCAAATAATTACTTTCAATCTCTGCCGTTTAGCCTTGGACATGGACCAGACAACAGTTGTTAGTGTTGATAATTTCATGGAGTGGGATAAAAAAACATTTTTAGTAACTGGAAATTGAATTAATTGCAACTTATTCTGATGAGGCTCTACCTGTATAGATTGCGGAAGGGGGTTGTTTAAGATCTTCGAAACTATCAAGTAATACGAAATCTAAGACTACGTCCCAAAATCCAATTTCTCGAACCTGAATACGTATATTATGCAAAGTTAATTGCTTACTAACTATACCCCTCTCGAACTCAGTTCATCCTTCATTTGCTCTAAGTTGCTGTCATCCGAGAAAAAATCCATTATCTTATCGAAAGCTTCGTAGAACGTTTTGGGATCCTAAAAAACACTATTGAGAGATTATATAGCTCGATGGTCTATACTTGTTTCGAATGTCGGAGAAGATCTCCTAATAAGGTTCTGCCTGCTTTAGCCAACCAGAGCCGTTTATGTTCATCAAAGAATATACTCTGTAATAATGAAACGTTCTCAAAGATGACAAGAAGTTCTAACGCACCTGGAAAGCCTGTCTCAAACACCATAGTTTTGCGGCGAATTCAACTTCGTTCTCGCATTGGCATAAATCGATCCTAGCTTTTCTGTATGTGACCTAAATATCAAATACACAACAGTCAGCAGTGCTTTTATACTTGGCCACTTTGAGCAGCGTCTAGACCTGCTAGATAAAGGATCATTTCCGAATCGTTAATATCGAGTAAGTCTCGATCTTCTTCCTCGAGCATCACAGGCTAAATACACGAACGGATTAGATATTAAGAAATCAAATTACCATATCTTCAAGAGCAGACATGAACGAATCATCAGAGAACACTGACAAAGTTCCTGGTCTTCCTGAATAATGCCCACTCCAAGACGTAGAATAACCGTCCTCCCGAGCTTCATCGAGAACACATTCACTGGCTAGTCGGTTAAAATCAGTCTCTAAGACACGTAAACGATCAATTGCCGATGATAACAAGTCTGCTCGCATTCTAAAATGAAACTCTAACTTGATAAAAATACAAATAAATAGCTACTCACTTATCTTTTTCACTTCTGTTCTTCACTAACTCTAAAGCACTAAGAGATCGTTCCGTGACCCGAAGCAAATCTTGGCAAATATCGACACCTTCAAGAGTAAAAAAAATACTAGGTTTTTTCTCTGGATTAACTCACTACAGAGAAGATCTGCATCTCCTGGAAGGACTGTTGACTGTCCTCTTCGTATACTTTGCCTAGTACTTCCACGCTCACTGAATGAAGGTGTGCATCTAGCTCGCGATGTTCTTCCTATAATGAAGAGTTATATATAATGAGAAAAATCCTCTTACCACTTTCCATTGGTTTCAAACTAAGTTCCGGGTTTTCATTTATAGGAGGATTAGATGGTGCTGTTGGTGGAGGTTTCTTTGATGCTCTAGAATTTGATGCTAACCATCTAAAAAAAATCAAAAATAAGTTTTGCGGCACCCTTGTTACCTCTTGATACAATATCCTATTAATGCGAAGCCTACACTCAATGATACAACAACAGTTGTAGTTCGAATCGGTAACTTCAAGACATGACCATTGCCTGACGGCATCTGAATATTCGTCGAAAATTTTCAAAAAAATTAATCTTAAGAAATTATGAGCTAACAATTGAAAAACCACGTTAGAATGAAAACCTATACGTAATTTACCCAAAAATGTACGCAATCGGCGCATAAAATACGGTTACCTTAGTGAATTTCAGTTTGATAGAAGGAACGCTTGAACAGTAAAAAAGTAGTTTTAATTATGGATTTCAATTAGTAAAAAGTAAGAATATTTTACAGATGTGAAAAAAAAATATAAAAATTCTTGAATCTCTAAAAAATGAAACTGTTAGTTCTCAATCCAGCAGGTGAAGCCTGCGACTAGCTTTAGAATCCAATGGTAAGGGCCACTCCCCAACGCAATCAGGAGCTTCTCTGTAATATTGAACATACGTAATAAATCAAATTCGCAAATCAGACCTTCTATAGTTTGGTCTTCTTGGACGACGAACTTGACGAAGAAGATCTGGGTCGACTTTTGGTGAAAGCATGCGGTAACCAGGCACCTTGATATATGTATGAGACATTTTTCACACCTACAAACTCACTGGAGCATCAATGTCTTCTAGGAACATTCGTTTTGCCCTCTCTTCCAACCATCTGAATTCATATTGAAAACTCATAAACATAGCATTCTTACCTCTCATAATCATGCTCTATCTTATCTGTTTTCATTTCGGTGAAGAAAGCATGTAAACATCTATGAATAAATATATATTGCATAGGAGTTTCCACAGCAAATGATCTCCTAGATCGAACAAACTGCACTGCCTTCTGCACCAAATGAGCGTAAGAAGGTCCTTTAATTATGCTGCATATTGCTACTTCAGTTGCAACAAGACTCGCGGCTCTGGACACACCTGTACACGAACTCAGTTAACAAAAACTTGAATTACTCATACCCAAACAGTCGTGCACTACAACTGGTCGCTCACAGTTTCTTGCTATCTTCAACAAGTTCAAAGGGGACAATATATTACTCGAGTTGTTCATGTTTCCTTGCCAATGTTCTACGTTGAACTGAAATAATCAAACAGCATGCTTTCCATTCTGCTTCCCTCGTACCTGTTCTCCAGATGGAGCAGTAACTCTCAAGGAAGTGACAGTGAACAGTGGGTCGCAATTTGTGTTAATTCCAACATTCTCAATTTTCAGTCCATGTGCATAGAGAGGCATCGAGTTTTCACGTCTTCAAAGAGAGAAATTTATTGTTCAGTAGACGGTGCTAGAACCTTGGCCAATATATAGCGCATCTCTCCGGTTCTTTTCTACTGGTAAGCATGAAAATATAAGGTACTTTTTCTTGCCAAATCATTCTCCAGAAATCTCCTGAACTCAATTTTATAGAACTGAACTTTCGTCGATTTAACTCACCAACAGTATTGCACATAGGTGCTTGAGTGATAATGAACTTGTTGAACAAGGGACCCCCTTGCACCCAATTAGCGTGAATAAAATCAGATTGGTCCTCATTAGTTTTATAACTTAGAACCACTCTTGTTGCATCTCGGCAATGAATATCTTAACATAACATTGAACTTCAATAGTGATTCCCAGTTCTAACTCTTATTTCTACAGCAAGATGTATTGGAATCCGAAGCCAGATGATCACCAGGTATATGATTGACTTGATTATCCAATATTTCGAATCGGAAAACAAAATGATTATAAACGTTGTCAAGTGTCTATTACCTTCTTTCCATTCCACCAATTATGGAACTCTCAATCTGTTGTTTCCTAGATGGTCCAAACATTCTTTTACCAAGTTGGATGTTATTGTAATCTTTAACATCATCAGTCTCTGTAGAGATTTTAACATACATTTTCCAGCTACTTTGATATGATCCTTATCACTGATCACGGTGTTAACATAAGTTGAAATCCGAGTTTTCATTCCACGAGGATCAAACTTAGTTCGCATGTAGGAAGCTAACAGAGGGTTACTTAAACTACCAGTTAGAGTTTAGTAACAACTTCAACTCACTTAATTGCATGATAATCCGTTGTTGACAGCCATCGACTTGGTTGCTCAGGACCGCATAATCGGTTTAGGAGAACCTGGGCTCGAGCTTCGCAAATGCCCAGAGCAGCGTTCTCAGTGAAAAACCGTGAAGAGACTCCAGCCTAGATCAAGTTATAATCTCGAGAAGGAGAAGACAAAAAAACCTTCTCACATACTCTCTTCAGAGGGAGAACCCATCCTTGCTTGTTGTCAGGCTTCTTTTCTTTCTTACCATTTACGGTCTGTTGGAAAATATCAGTGTAACGGTTCTTCCACTTCATATCATATCTAGGTGTAGAATATATATGAACTTCAAGTACAACAAATTGACAAACTTTTTCGAGTAAAGCAACTGCTGTGTTAAGGGTAAATCATTTCGACACTGGATAACTAGTCGTTTCATTTTCTCATCTGTAAGTGGACCTGCAAAGCTATCAATTTGTTAGTGTTATAAGCATCACTCTAACTAAGGGCATGCTTCACATCATTAAAATCTTCATCACGCTCAAGGAGAGTCGAAGCATGGAGAGAGAAAGCGCCAGGTGAATCTCCATCTTTCTGGAAAGGAGTTATAAGGCTGCAAGAGGAAAGCGAACACCTTCTGAGACTGGCTGATAATACGCTCAATCGTTTTCTCCACCAATTTGGGTTGTAAATCAATTGCGGCTCTGGTGACCAACAATTTCATACGAGCAGCCTAAAACAAGCTTTCAAACATCAATTCTTGAAAACTTGATGAACAAACCTTGAGATGCTGTTTTTGAGAATCGAGAGTCACTGCCCTGGCGGTAGAATCATTTTTATTATCTTCCATAGTGGCTTCAATGAGACGAGAGAGGTTCTAAGCCCAAAAAAAATTTTCGAACAATGTTTTGAGATCCTTACTCCAACTTTCTTCCGAGCCATGGTTCTGGTAGGATCTCCTCTAGGTTCCTCGATGGCATCATCAGAAATGTCATTAATAGATGTTTCTCTGAATATATCTCATTGGGCTACTAATAAACCTCAGCTGTACGCATATTAACCTCATTCGCATAATACAACTTAAATTCCATTTTTCAACTTTAATACTCGCCTACAATCAGTCACCCAGTTTGGATACATTCATAGTTGTTGCCGGCAGTGATCTGCGATATCGATCGATTCGCCCTTGTGCTAGTGCTAGCCAGGCATTGAGAATGGTGGACGGACGATAGGCCAGACACACACACACATCACATACACTCATAGACAACCTCTTTCAATTTGACCTACGGCTTTCATTAAGACGCTAACTTTCAAAATAGTTAATACAAATGCGTCCGTTTTTCATACTTAATTTCACGTTTTACTTTTCCGTACTTCTCACTCTTTCCTACTGAAGAAATACGATGAACCAACAAAAACATCATCGTTATCGTTAATTTCAAAAACATTGTATTGATAGTTTTCCTGCATCGCATCACTCATCTCACTTGAACCATCTTCCATGCAACTGAAATAGCAAACGACTTCAACTTATAACTCGTTTTCATGTTCTTCATTTCTTACAGATGGCTCAGAGGCCAGAACCTATGAAAGAAACCCAAGACACAGAAGAGAACACATGTACACTTACTCCCAATGAACTATTATTATCGGTAAGCTTAGAATTATTACCTTCTTTCACGTTCAGCCAACTTCTTTATTTTTTTCTTGAAACTTTTTCTGAAATCACCATCACCAGCTAAGAAATTTTTCGAAACTATAGGCATTCCCCTATTATCTAAAGGGAAATCAGCCACGGAATTGGCTCGACTACTGAAAACCGATTGTTGAGTGCATATAGTAAAGAGAATCATACATTTGTAATGATATACTATCCTGTGTGTCATTTTCGTCAGGAGTGTAGAAACTACTCAAGGACCTCGTTCGATATCTTTCTGCAGCACGAGAATGGTTCTAGACAATTATATAGTTATTCAAAATTTAATCTCAAATCTCACCATTGCGTTAAGCTGAAGCATTCTGCTCTCCGTTTTATCCTGTTTTGAAGCCACCATGCTTTTCTGATTCACGTGTTAGTACTGAAAGAATACTCTGATTGCTCTAATATAAACATATACATAATATCTGAATGAGACATACAACCTTTTGGCTCGAATTTATCATATGATAAGAATTGCTCGAGAACACAACCGTTCCTCACCGACGTGCCATCAAAAATAATTGCGCCAACTTTTGAATTTTTTCTGCATAAGACCAAAATTCGGCTCAGTGCACTACTTTCAAAACGGTGAGTAATAAATAGTATGCAGATATGCAAAATGTGTACGAAAATAACAGGATTTATTTAGATGTTCAACATTCCTTTATCTTCCAATGAACCAATTCCAACTTCCCCGAATCTGATAGAAGAGCAGTTGGTAATGAATGCAGGGCTTCAAATCTTACTTTTGTCCCGTTTCTAGATTGATAATAATATATCTTATAAAAGCAATTCTTACAATTACTTGGAGGAAGCTGAGAAACCAGACGTTATGCACCAACCAATGTTAAGAAGACACGGTTTATTTAATAATTGTAAGTTTCTATCCGAGTGTCACATCTTTTTTTTTCAAGATATATCTGTTAATAAGGCATGTACTCCTCCTGCACGACCTCTCCAAAACAATTTATCGATGAAGCCTCCAGATAGAAGATATGAATCATCAGAGCATATTAATACCACATTATCCTCTATTAATCCGTCACTTGCCAATGCACTGTCAACCCTTCAAGTTTGTCCAATCCTAACTTTCCTTACGCTAACATTCCTTTCAGTCTAAATCTCCTATTATAAGTTCGAGAAATATGCAATTTGTATCCAACCCAAGGTGTAGCACAGGCAGAAACTATAAAGAGAGGGTTTCCGCTAGCAATCCTCGGTCGAATGATCTCAATCAAATGTCCAGATACTCTCATACAGAGGAAAAATGTGGTTCCAGTATGACTTCACGCCAATGTATGTGCTTTACATCCAACTCTAATCTTTCAAAGCCTTCAGATCATATCAATGGTACTGAGTTATCACCTACTGTTAGTCACGTTGTTTTCAATGGACAAGCTACTGAGGTTCCTGATGAAATACTATGTCATTTGTGCCAATTTCCGATGAAGATCTGCTATAGAAAGAGCAAGTATAAATCAGAAATCAGAGAGTATCCTGCATACAGGTGAATCACGGTAATTCACACTGAATCATACTCAAGTGGTTCAGATGCCTGAGGAAAGGTTGTCAGACTTTCCGTGCCATCAGAAAGGTTATAGATCCAAGTCAAGTAACCAGAGTACCTGTGAATCGAAAAAGAAAGCCTGAACTTGCTCCAGCAGATGTATGCATAAATGTTGTTTCATGTGACTCGAACATTTTTAAGTTTTTGAAAGAATTCCTTGCTCCATCGGAAAAGCTTGGGAGTAGTGCAGAAATTACAAATCGTGAAGGTCCACCAAAACAAACTCTCGGGTTAGTTAGATTCTATTTAATTTTGATGCTATCTGCACCATGCTTCTAATGCTTGACACGAACTCACATATTCTTAGTTTAGTACACTTATTTACGTTCCCGCTGTTCTGACACAGCCTCAAATCCATAGAGTACAGGAAGCTGCCATGAAAGTTGTCCTGGATAGTGTGTTAGTCTTTTTTTGTTGTGACTGTTGCTTACTCTAGTATTCTATCAGCAATGCTTTTTGTATGTGTTTGTTGCTTGCAGGGGCGTTGTTGTTACACCTATGGTTGCCCCGAGTCCTTATAAGTACGACCAGATTAGGGAAAGCCTAGAATCAGATGATGGTTTGAAGGTAAAATATATGTCGCCCACTGCATCTTTTGTTCTTCTCTCTAGTTCACACCCTTTCCTATTTTAGGTGATACAAAAGCTGTTTATGGATTCTGAACATAGTACTCTTCCTACCTCATCTAGCGACACCGGTGAAATGGAAAAGCCATGGTATTAGCTATAGATCGATGTTATTGGCATTTATTAACTTTCAGCATATCACCAGTCCCGACAGGCTATTCGCAGCAAGTGATTATGAACCATAACACATCAATTGATTGTAATAATGATAATTGTGGAAATACGCAACTGTTCTCTCTCTTCAATGATAGCGACACGATGTCGTTTGCAACTGAGAACCCAATTGATATGGAGCTGAACTTTGATAATTTTGATGAATTCGATACACAATAATTGTTCACCATGTTAGATTCACCTTGATATCATTTGCCTCATTTGTAATTTTTATTGTTTGTATTTTTGCTTCATAGCGAAATAGCGTGCGGGTGGAAACCCCATTTCTTTTACCTTTTATAGCCCAAAGTGATAGCATGCCGGTAAATTTTCCATTGTTGTTTGACCTTGTTGATACGTTAATGAATTTGTTAACACTATCCTTACGTAAAGTGAGAAGGCGCACAGCGGAATGAACCGTTCTGCATATCGTGACAGTTTTTGATATTCCTCTGGAGTACGTAATTACGTATTTACGGTCTCAATCTTAAACTAGTCCAAGATGAATCAATGAATTTGATTATTCCTGTGCTCATGTACCTGTCATAATACGTCTTCAAGTTTCTTGTACACTCACCCATTTTTTGGCTTATTACTGAGTTAATGCAACATTTCTCTTCTGTTTTCAACAAGTCCCAATTTCAATTTATATTTTATCTTGAGATCACAGATTAGTTTAAAAATTTCAAATTTGAACAAACGCAGCATCATCTTTCCTTCCATTCTGTTTTTCCGGATCTTGTTGCTCTCGCTCCCTACGGAGTGTATTTATTCGTTCAAGCTTCTTCTCACGTCTCGAACTCAAGCAAACAGAGAGGCAGTCCACAATTAAAACAAAAAACTCGGTGACAGTAATCATAGAAAACCCTACAAATTATCACTTTTTTTTGTACCCAGCTTGAAATCTAACCTAGCCATAATCCGAGATGTCCACCAAAGTCAGCTATAAGATTAACCATTCCATATGCTTCGGATTCTTGGAGTAATTCATAGTTTAACTGCTCATAGAAGACCTGATTATGAACTATTGAATCTTGAAAAAACCATGTGCCTACCTCGACCATCGCCGCATTTAGTCTATAATACTGCTCACATTCACCCTCAGTCATTCCATCACAATCCCCGAGCTAAATCATGTGCAATACAATGATAACATGAACCGTACAAACATCTGTAGCCCCCGAAGGCCATTTACTTGCTGAGAAAGTGACTTCATGGAGTACTTCCGTACATGAATGTTTACATATGCAGTCCGACATGTCATCCGTGATATGATGAAAATCTCCTACATGACCTATTTTGCTTGCTAAGCAATCACCTTAAATATAATTTAAACATAGTTAAAATTATTCTAACGTACGAGCTGTAGCGTTGAAAGCTGAACAGTGTCGGTTCTCAGGTGGGACGGGGAAACGAGGATCCCCACAAGAACATTCATCTAATAATTTATTCTGAAAGCAGCTACGATGGCATCCCTAAGGCCAAAACATTTAGAGATAACTTCAAGAATATATAAACCTCTGGCTGATAATCATACCCATGGTAGATGTAATCTGTTTGATCTACTTCTCTCGCAATAACACATTCTCCTGGAGGAGAGTTCAAACGGTGCATTATTTTCTATAAAAAAAATACTAAGAGCATCAATCGATAATTATCACCTTCTTCATTCCAAAGCTTGATGCGAACCCAACTGGGGCCGAATATCCAAAAGTATCAGGAAAAGGATACTGAGTCGGAGGATGAATGGCTAATCTTACACCAGACGATTCCGAAGTTGACATATAGTCGGAAGTATTCACAAATAATAAGACACGTATACCATACATTGGGCCTGCTCGACTACTAGTATAGTTATTATCAATGTCATAATTGAATGTGAAGCAATTTCCAAATTCAGGATCAACGTGAAGGCGGAAATCCCTGAAAAAATCTTTAAAAAATCAACAAATGGCTTCATACTGATCAATATCACATTCTTGTCCATTGAAAGAACACATTTCTATAAATTCGTGCTTGCTCTGACTTAAAGCTATACGTTGTTCTTCGGATAAGGCAGCCATGGTGAACATCAAATTCTCTTTTGCTTTTGTAAGCATAGCAACACCATCTGTCATTCCCTTGAAAGACATGACGGTAAGGAAAATTCGGTTGAATAGAATGTAAACGTACACTAAAACCAAACGCTTTAATAGTTTCAGGATTACTAACTATTGCCCGCTGATTGGGATTGATTGGAGACGGAGCTTAAAAAAATCAATTGTAAACTTAAGAGTTAACAAACATAAAGTGCGAAAGCAGAAGCTACATACTGGTAGGCATTTCAGTCGTGGTGGTTGTAGGGACGGGAGTCGTTGTTGTTGTTGTAGATGTTGTAGTCGTCGTTGTCGTTGTTGATGTTGTTGTAGTTGGTTCGGCAGTCGTCGTGGTAGCCATCGTTGTAGTCGGTGGAAGTGCTAACATATTATGTGATGACGAAGAAGCGTGCTAACACAGAAAAAAACTAGCCAAGTATGTAACTAACTTGTTGTTGTTGAGGTAGTAGAGGTGGTAGTAGAGGTTGTCGAGTTATCATCTACCCAAAGTTTTCTTATTACTATAGGCTCCTTTCCAATACAATATGGAGTCTGCAAAATAAGAAGTTTTTCTTCAGTTAACGAAAATGATGGATATGCAGAGGTATCGCAAGAAAACATTCTAATGTGACACATTGCGTTAAAGCGAGTGATTTGCTGCATATAACTGTAGGTGTAGTGCAATCTAACTACTGATCACTCATAATAAATAATATACGATAACTACTGTTCACCTTGGAATATCCATACTTTAGTTCTAATGGCTGAAAGGAAGCATTAAGTTTTAAGCAGGGAAGCAAGCAGGGTTGAAGGAATGAAGTTATTAAAACACCTCACGGCACTTACATCTTCTCCTGACTCCAAATGACCAGTTCTGTTCCGGCATTTACAAGGCCAATCCATGGGAGGCACATTCTTATCACTCAATTGAGCCTCACAATATCCTTCTTCTGTACAGAAAGGACAAACGTGGTCATACCATATACTGAAATTTTCGATTTTCTCTTTCCGAATTGTTGAGATCAGTCAGATCATCGGTTTTCGATCTTCAGAAATAGATCTAGCTGTAGATCGTGTATTGGAAGTAGATTTTGAAAGATCATTGCGAGAAACTCTGCACTGATCAAAGCTACATCTTAATGAACAATCAACACCAGGTAGATCAAACTATGAACTACAATTGAGCAGCTATCCGATGCTAAGGAAAAAAGTGAGAACGCTACCTTGAATTGAAACAAGGCCATGCCACCATAAGATCACTGTCGAAAGTACAAACACATTTGGAATTCTAAAAAATATCTTTGAAACTTCAAAACTTTCAACTTACATTATTTTTAGGTGGAGTTTCGAACCGTATACATTCCATATCGGGCTTTCCGACACATTTGCAATGAGCTTCGATAGCTTCATAACGGCGACGAGGAGTCTGGAACATCGATAAAAAGTAATGAGTCGATGTATTTGTTTATAAAGGAATATTTTCTCAAAACAAAAAAAAATTCTTTGGATCATGTATAAAACTATTGAAACTTCAAACCTGTCTCCGCTGTCTTGTTACATTATAAAGTAGATCGCCAGATGATGCCGAACGGAAAAGAGTTCGTTGTTGCTTTAGTTCTCTCTCCCCTTCTTCTATTTCTTTCTCAAACAGCTGTCTAACCTGTAAAAATAACTCCTCTATTGATAATCTTATTTGATTCGAAAATTACAATCTGATTCATGAGACGCAAATGACTTTAATATTAACCACATGGGTTTTCTTCTCACAAAAAACTTTCAGACTCACCCTCATAGCTGACTGCTCCGAAAACTGTCTTCTCATGTACTTCGGTTTTTTCTTCTGTTTTCCTTTTTCAATCTTGCTGTGAGACTTAGCATTATCGTAAACATCCATCTGAAAAGGAACAACATTATATGAAATTAAGGAAGTGAGATGTACCGTATCACGGATGCTGGGCACCATATTTATTAAACTTCTTTTATAAGGATTCAAATTACAGAACGTTATCGCCGGAAAGTCAACTTGATCGAACTTCAACTGAAAACAATACGATAAGAAACCCATCATTATTATCAGATTATTCGTAGGGAAACAAACATACTGAAATACTCGTGATTTTCTCCTTGTTGTTATACTTCTGTGTTAAGCTCATCACCACAAAGCTAAACGCAGAAACACCAAAAAGAACTAATAGGATCCAAAACCATCTACTATATCGTGTACGAGCGATTAATATCCTCTTAGCCCCATGAGCGGTGGTGTTATCAAGAAAAAGGTACAACTTTGTCCATAGACTTGGATGTAAACTCTCTTCATTCGGAACAGTAACCGATTCTCTTCGAGAAGACCGGGAGGAAAAATGATCCTGATAACTTTTCTCATAAATGTAGTCATTATATCCAGGTGGATTAGGGGAATTAGTGGATATTACACCAGGCGACATATCATTTATCGAAATGAAACGCTTCTAATCAGAAGCTATTAACTTTTCAACTGAAAAAAAAGAATGAAGAACTAGATAATTCAGAAGAACGCGTTGGTGAAATAGAAGTAATGAGCGAGTAAGAAGCACATTGGACTTTCTTATAATTTTAGGAAACTCAATTTTCTTCACTCCAACAAGGTCTAGACTTCAAATGTTTAGAAGCCGTTAATGAGATTTAGCTCATGTTGAACTGAAAATGAAATCAAAAACAATCCAATCTTCTCTTCTTGAAGTGATACTTCATATACCAAATCATGAGATTAGGGAGCAAGTAGTAAGATATGATAATGATTATCTTCTACTTCTAGGGACTGCTCCCTAACTTTTACTATATTTATAATCTCTAATCGCACTATAAAAGATAGATTAAAAACATTATAGCCAAACGAAGTATTAGCTAGTTAATTGGGCAAAAGCAATCTTGTACATAGAGACATGAAATGGAATTAGTTTCTCAAAAAAAGTAATTGAACCATTGCTCTTTTGTTCATGAACTACTATGCTAAAGAGAATTAGAAACAATGTCAATTTCGACAAAACAGAAGCACTCCATGGACAAGAGTTCAGATGAAGAAAACAGGGAACATTGCCTGTTAAACATGATGAAACGGGCCGTTCGTTTTCAAATAGGATAATTCTTTAAGATCCTAGATGTAACTAGTGTTTTTCTTATAGGAACAGATTAACAAAATCTTTGTGAAAAACAGATTCAGAAAGCTGTAATTAATGTTAAAACTGATAGATATCGGCAAGCACAAAACTCAAACAGGCTATCACTCACTGGACGTCATTTCGTAGGAGTTTTCCTCCTCGAGTGATAGCAGATGGATTCACAATATCATATTCAAGAGACTAAGGATGCAGATTAAAGAACATGAAAAGATGTAAGAAAGAATAGATCACTTCCACTATTCTCCCTGTTCGCGAAACTCATGCTAATAGGAACTTCTCAAACTTGAAGCTTTCCGGTAGAGCAAAACACGTGAAAATCTTATCTTATATTCATGAATATAACTTCGTACAGATCGAGACTTGGAAATAGCCATGAATAATCAATCAAAATCGAAAAGCTACAAAATCTTGGCAATTAGTTGAGGACAGAGACAGAAATCTGATACTCTGATTCGAGAGATTTTCCTAGATTCGCAGTTGCAGAACAAGCTGGCATAAACGTCTATTTTGCAACGTTAGTGTTGAAAATATCTACATGAAACGAAAGGAGGGAGTGTCTGGTAGCTAATGGTTAGTTAACTCGTAAACCAGCTCAATGCATAATGAGGAAAGCCAAGACAGAAGAGCTAAAGTATCTTCAAAATTGTAAAAAGTCACCAAACACCAAGAAAGCTCCATTGATTCTTGATGAAAAAACAAAGAGGAAATATAACCCGAGGAGAAAATAAATTCTACAGATGACACCTAGCAGGTCAGTACAATGATCTGATCACTGATCCGTCACTGATACTTCTGAGGACTCTAGGATGGGAGAAGAACAGGCATAGGTTAAAATATGGGTTTAACAAAAAGTTTGTCTGATGATAAATTAGAAATCAAGAATAATATAAAAACAACAGATGTCATCGGACATGTCAATGCGGAGTAGCAATCCTAGTGATGGTTAATTCGTAATGATCAAAGGAGAAAACTCTTTGTGATTCACTATTTCAAGCTTTTTTTTCCTTGTCTAATAAGAAAAGCATGAAAACAGAGTGAGTGACATACAAAGGCCAGTATACGAAACAAAAGTTCAAAGCTGAGACAAGAACTGCCTTATTTAAAAATTAATTGTCACAACTCCAAGAAACAATATATTGTTCTGTCAATTACATTAAGTCCTTGTAGGTAACCTAATAAAAATTGTTTCATAAAGTCAAGTCATAAAGAATGGAGAAAGGGAGCAAGCTATTTCCTACCCCGTTTTGACACATCTCATTCGAAGAGAATTCTCAAGGGACTTTAGAAACGCAGATTGTCGTGATGAGGTAATACCAAAAACACTCAAAATAAGCAACAACCTACTTAGTTTAGTGAAACGACTGATAGATGTATGTCATTTTCTCCCTCGTAATTAAATTAGCTCAGAAATATATATACTACCCCTACAAGCATCAATAATACTAAAGTGTACTGACCGTCATTGATGTCATTGGTGTCTGTTTCTGATACTTATTCCATAACAAGACAGCCTTAAATCAAAACATGAGCTTGAAAATAGAAACTCCAGTACCGTTATGAGAAAAATCAAAGCTGCTAGCAGCCAAACAAAAAACCAGAACCATCTGGCGAACAATGTTCTCGAATTCTGAAAAGATGAATAATTAAAAAGAATTTCCATGATGAACCGAGGTATTTCAACATTCATTCACTATGTAGATATTTGGAAAGTTCAATGGAACTTCTCATGAACTCATGAAAGGTGGCATACGATGAAACAAGAAACTTAATTGTATTTGGGGCAAGCCATGAGCTGTTGTATTCGACAAAAATCGGCCTCCTGTGCTTTTGATGTCTTCATACTGAAAAAAAGTTCATGTTAGAATACACATGCAGATAAAAATTGAACAGAAAAGAAAACGTGAAGGAACTCACCAGCTTCGTCTTCTCTTCTTCTTGCATTATAACCAAATCTGAATCCTCAATATTCTTGGTACACACTTACGAAAACTGACACGTATCCTTCAAGAAAACATTGAAGATAAGTTCCACTCGTTCGAAGTTTTAACTCTCCGAATAGTGAAAAAAAACTACTTTCCGATGAGACAACTATCACAATAAAGAGTTTGCAAGTCACACTAGACGATAGCGAGGAAACATAAGCTGTTCAACTATTCGAGTAGAAAAACTCGACGAATCCAAAACATGAAATGAATTTGTTTCTTCAAGAAAAGAGAAGCTTTAAATTCATTGGCTACCTAACACACATACACAGACCAGACACTAGAAAATCACTGAGGCGAATTCAAAATGTTTGCATAGCCATAAACGGACTTTTAGGTTTCAAAATGTCCATTCCATTAGATATTTTTGAGCATTCGGCTAACTTGAAAGTTTTTGAGAAGCCAAAAGATAATGCGAATGTAGCAAAAGCTAAAATATAGTGAGAGAGCGTAATAGGAAAGCAGCTGAACAGAGTAGCCTCACAGTCACAAGTTATAACTCACAATATCCCAGATTATTTCTTAGACACCTGTCAGCTGAATGAAAAATTTTTAATTGCTTCTACCGATTTTGAGCGCAAGGCCGAGAAACGCGCATAATGCGTGGAGCTACCCAGCTGAGACGTTATTGTTAAAGCGCATTGTTCATAGTTGCAAACACAGAATTAAAATGGTCACCTTTACTTTTATAGAACGCCGGTACTATTCCATTATGAGAAAGTAATGAATAATCCATATTAATCAAAGAAGCTGTCACACTGTGATGGCATGTCTACAAGCTCAAAAGCTCGTCCGGTTATCTTCGGAGCCTAAACATCTGTAAACAGAAAAGAATTGAAGACAGAACTAACTTGCAAAGCAGAATACTTTTTCTTGAAGTTGAAAAACGATCCCTACAAGAGAATGTGAAAAATGGTATTGAAACTTAAACTTACTTTAGTTGTGGAATATCTACTACAGTTTGAAAAATTGTTGTATAGTTCTTCTGAAAACTTAACCCAATAAAAAAACGAAAAACCAACATACTCAATGGTTTTTTTAAAACCAGAGTTGGCTTTTCAATCTTGGATTCAATATAAGTTTTCATCCCGTTCCGGAAACAAATGTACTCAGATGCCTACATTATATAATGACTAACTTAAGAATGAACATACCTTGCTTTGTAAATTTGATTCGGAATTGGTTGAAGTTATTTCCTCCTTCACTGACTGTTCCTTAATCATGTCATCAGACGGATTATCGAAGTAATAATAAGAGTTAGAGCTCTTATTCTAGAAAGACAAGGATAAAACTGATCAAGACAAACTTCAAACTTCTTGCTGTTGGGGCATCAATGATGCTACTTCGTGCTGAACATCAGCTTCTTTCTCCGATATATTTTCTATTCCTATTGTTGGCAAAACGAGAATATTCGGTTCCATGTATTGAGAAATATCAAACGTCTTTGGAGTATCTTTAGCTGTTTCCATGATGGTAATACTCTTGTTCTGATCTCCGTACTTCTTTAAACAATACTGATTTAAAAAACTTGCATAAAATAAGTTTACCATTAGAGCAGATTTTTTAAATAGAGCATTGTTCATTATTCCCACAGGAGTAACACAGGGAGCATCCCGATCACCATTCATATGAACTGATTCCTTTTCCTTCTTCAGCATGTCATCATCATGTTCATCATCCTGAATCATTTTGTGAGAACCATAAAGAAAAAAAATATCACATTTCCGAATTTTGAGTCAATTAGGAAATAGAAACTACGTATGAAACCGCTCATCACGCGAACAGACAATCAAATGAATATGCGCCGCGAAACAACACTACGTAAGTTACGTGAACTGCGTGCCACGTCTCATGACGCCACGTGAAAATGAAAAAAGAGAACTAACGTAAACGTAAAGAGTTTATTATTTCGAAAAGATAAAACATGAGAAATTGAAAAAAAAAACTGAAAATTATTATGAAATGAGATCACAAATTATGGCACATGAGTCATGGGATAAAAGGTTAATTCAAGTAGTAGTTGGGTAAATTAGTTTGAGTTATCTTTCAAAGCTCTATCGGCACAGTAACGTCTGTCAGCAATAGTTGCGTTCGGACAAACCGAGTATGGGGCACATACTTCATCGCGTCTGATGCACCTTTTTGATTCTTCGCACATGTAGTTCTGAGAATGTTTTCCAGTGCATTCTGCAAAGTAAACGGTGCTGCAAAAAGAAAAAAAGTACTAACCGTAGCATGAACAATCAATCTCATCAGATCCATCAGGGCAGTCAGGAACTCCATCACAACGAGCCACGTTGGGAAGGCAAGAATTGTAGTGATCGCAGCGGAATGAGTGTTCAGGGCACTGAATCGACTAACTACTTCACAAAAGTACGAAAAACTTACACTCTCACATCCCATTTCGTCAGAATTGTCAGAACAGTCCTGAACTCCATCGCAACGACGAGTCATATCGATACATTTTGTACCTTTTTTGCACATAAACGAGTCTTCCTAAATTGAATATTTTTCAGAATCGAACATTTATGCATACCTCGCATTCACAGTTCTCTTCGTCTTCTCCTCCTTGACAATCTTTTTTTCCGTCGCAAACCTAGTTTTTGGTTACAGATGTTTACAGATCTTCTCTTACCTTTTGGCGCTGAATACAGTCTCCATGAGGGCATTGGAAAAGAGCAGGGCTTCCCTCGCAATCAGGACAGTTTTGAAGACATTGGGGTAATCTGCCGGAACAAACATCAGAAATAGTATGAGCTTTGCCGTCGTGACAGAGAACAGTGTTTTCCTGTAAATCGTATTCAAGAAACACTATACTTAACTTGACTTACAGGCGATTCCTCGAATTGGCAAGTTCCTCCACAGTTTTTCTCATCGATTCCGTCACCGCAATCATTATTTCCATTACAGACTTTTTCTCGGTTAATGCAAGTGCCATCATTACACAGAGCTTTGTTTGAGCCACTGCATGCCAAACAGTCACATCCCTCAAAAAAAAAGTTGAACGAAGGAGTAGAAGAGTTACCTCTTCGTCGGATCCGTCTTTGCACTGCACATTTCCATCACAAATGAATCGTGGATCAATACACTTTCCGGAATCTTTACACATCTGAAACGAGTGCAACTATAGAAGGTTCTACTTTTGTCACCAACATGAGCCCCTCTTTCGCACGATGTACAGTCTTCCTCATCAGCTCCATTTGCACAATCTTTCACACCATCACATCTATACGAGATAGGGATACACATATCCTTTCCACTGTACGATGGGCAAGAAATCTCATGATCTTCGCATTCTCTTTCTGGAGTTTGGTCATTTCGATTTGGTCGGATTTGTACAGGATCATCATACCACAGTATCTCGTCTCATCACTACGATCAGGGCAATGGCTAGCACCGTCGCACAGCTGATTGGGTCGAATACAAATTTTAAGGTTGGAAACGGTCGATTTAGGGTTCATTGCACAAGAGAATGAAGTTCGGCAGTCTAAATCCAGATCGTAATTGCTTAAGCAGTAGTAAACTGAACCATTGCAGTTCTCTTCGTCCGAAGCATCATTGCAGTCGTTAATTCCATCACAACGTCTATGAGTTGCGATCACAATATGCTAAAGTTCATAAGATACAGAGAAATAGTAGGTTACTAACCGGTTCAGAAGTGCAACTGAATCCAAAACCAGGACAAATCGAGACATTCACAGGAAAAACATCATGTATAGAGAAGCCATGGATATATAGTTCGCTATCATCATCAGCATCAATCTTTGGAAGTCCAAATCCTTTTCGCAAACCCTGGAAGAAGATTTAAACACGAGAATTATGAAAGAAGTATACATTCATTTCAAACTCTCCAGTTTGAGCTAAGGCTTCGCTGGAAGCGGCATTAGTTAAAATGAAAACAGCTGGGATTAGGGCGAGGAGTAAGGCGAAAATAAGGCAAGCAACAATCACTAACACAATTGCAGGCATCTTGAAAAAACAGAATTATTCACATTACATAGGAAACGAAACCTTCTCAACGCAGGAACAACAGGATCGTCCGACATAATGCCTAAAATTTTCCATTTTTCTTTGTACTCTTCCACTAAGGCTTCTACAAGTAAGAAATTTATACAAAATACCTAGTGGAATCAGACTTTGGCCTTTGCATAGCTTCTTCATTATACATGATGTGTCGTGCTTGTTTTCCTACAGACTCTTCTCTAGTACTCTTAAAACCAGATAAATTTTAACATCATGCCTTATTAACTTACAAGGTAAATATCGCTGAGTTCGTACTTAGCTTTACTGGAATTCAATTCTGGCTCTATCGGCAAAGACATACAGCTACCACAAGCTGATCAACGCACAACTGTGAAGTAGCCAGGCAACAACTGCAATTTTATCAATTCACTTTTACACAAATATATATTATAGTATATAAGAAGTATTACGACAATAGTCAGTAAATTGTTATTTCTTGGCAGACTGTTTCATAATCGGAATGACCGGATGTGGCAGTTGACAATGGCGCGAATATAAAATTTATATGATGTGTAGATCAAAATTGTTATTTATGCCTCTGAGCATGGATTGAACGTATAGTAAAAGAGATACAATAACAAAACATATTGAGACATATTGTACTTTGTACCGGGGGTTTTCAAAAGTGATTGGGCAAATCTCCAAAGATGATATACTCCCAAACTTGGTTATTAAATTGTATTGTTACGATGTTTTTCTTTATATAATTAATTTTATTCTAATTTCACTTTTCCTCTACATCAAAGTTGTTCTCAATATTCTAATTAATTCCACGTAAAGTGACTTCACGTGAAAGTGGAAGGGGGGTAAATCATCATTTCTACTGAAGCGCCAACGTGAACCGGTTGAATGCATAACTCGCGCCTTGACCAAATCATTGAAGGGTACGTTCTTTCTTTCATATCTTGGAAAATCATTCATCTCTTCTTTGACATAAGGTTGGATTAAGTTGCAGCTTTGTTGCATTTATTTCGAAACTGAGTTAGCATCATGTTTATTATCATTAACATAGTAGGATGGTCTTATCAAATGACCGATACGCTTTTAACTAGGCCACGGTCATTCATACTACTTCTAGATATCCTTGTTAAGAGCGTTTATCTATAGCTAAGTCTTACTTCTTACTTTAACATATTAGAAGTTAAGAAAAGCTTTTTGTTCTATTGACCTGTGGGTACAATGTATCCTGTTTAATAGATACTGTTGGCCTGTAATTTCTAAGTCTTTTAAATGTTCTTCTTTAATAAAAAAAGAAACATTATAGTAGTCCGGTTTCATTATCATGTGCACTATTTTCTTCTTTTGTCTGCATGTATATCATCTGAATTGCATTATTGTTTGTATAATCATTTATTTGAAGCAGAGAAGTAGAGTTTTGTTGTTTTCATGTACAACATTCATTGTGCCAACCATATTGCAAGAGCGTAGATTAGTTAGCCGTATAATAATGCTTATTAGTGTTATCATTGTGATGTTTGAGTGAAAAACTATTTTCATGGGTTCACTTTTTGATTTTTCATAGCAAAGTGTAGTGTATTCAAACATAGTTCATGGTTCTCGCGGATGCCATTTTCTTGATGAAAGGACAAATGACGTCATTGAAAATAACTCGAGATTTGGCAGCTGTTCTTTTGCATCCGTTCAAACCAATCACAGGTCACAAAAAGCCTAGCTTTCGTTGGCATCATCATTTTTTTGTTTTCAAATTTTGTTTCCTGATATATACAATTCCATATTGTTAATTTTCCGTCCTGCTAGAGCGTGTAGTGAATTAACTTCAAAGAACAGTCGCGAATATCTTTCCATAGGGAAATAACTGTTATCAGTTATCATCTATTAATTAAGCGCTTTCTTTGTTTTGCTGGAAATTTTGTGTTGTTCTAGCTTTGTTCAATTCGAAATCTCGTAGTCTCATTGATCTGATCAGTGTGTACTTGACCGAACGAGTCTACTTATTGATTTTTCTTATCTCATAACATCTTCTCTATAGCTCTAAGTGTCTACAATTACTTTTATGGCGATAATCCTGATCTTCATATCGTTTCATACGTATATGGAAATATATCATTTACGTTGTTTTACGTTCACTATGATTCATGTTTTGCCAAACCATGAGTTGCTTCTCTCTAAAATGATCGGCATCCATGTCTGTCTGCTTCTTATTACCAATAACGGTTGATCAGTTGACTTCTCATTTGTAGTTTAATTTACTCCTCTAACCTTCCGTCTTCAATTCTTACTCAGAGTTCAGTTGCATTCTCTCGCTTGTGTTGGTTTTGTGATAAATGAATTTACTGATCAATAATTGTCATGTCTTTGTAGTATTACACATGAGTTGTATAGGCTTCAACTCTCCAAAGATATTCCAGAGGTTATAAAACCCAAACAATATACCTGTTGAAAGAAAGTTCCATAATGGCGTGTGACCTCTATTAGTGCAGATTTGCACTTTGTCCCTCTATGTCTTTTTAACGTTGTCGACGTTGGTTTCCAAGCCTGTCCTCTCCCTGCTCTCTCTTTTCATCGTTATCAGCCATTTCTTTTCGATAGTGGACATAAAAGAAAAAAAGTGGGACAAAATGCGCCAACAGTTCTCAGAGAGTAAAGCCGTCTCAGATGGACTCCTGGATACGATTCAAACGTTGCGGCAGATGAGCTACTTGCAAGAATAGTATTCAATAGTACTGTTGACTGTGTGTCCAAATATTATCTTATGATAACAACGGCTGTCTTACATTTGATTAAAACATAAAAAATTAATTTGATGGAGCGATAGGAATTTAGTGAGTATTTTGCTGTTCTTATTCTTTTTTTCTCGAGATCTTATCGTCATTATGTCCTTTGGGGAACCGTGAAACCAATTTCAGTCAATACTAATTGTTAACGTTACTCTCACATTCAGAATCATTATCAGTTATCTTTCGAGTGTTAAAAATTCTCTCGTCTCCTCGAGATATCAACGAAACATGTTGACTTGTAGTTTTCTCATGTTTCCCATAGAACAGAATGAATTAGCATTATAGTATTGCCGAAAATTTGATAACGTTCACTCCTGCTCATCTTCTCTCCATTCTTTCTATTCGATTTTCTTCTCTTCTTCATGTGTGGTTGTGATGGTTAGAAAGAGAGGGCTACTTGTTTTCTTACCCCCTCCCATCACCTTCCACACACATATATACAGACAGACATACACACAAATTGCCATCATCCTTCTTTCTGCTTGTCTTATCACCCAATCACATATTCCTCTTGTGTTGATGTGATCATTTTTCTATCTTTTCATTTTTCATCGTATTCTATTTGAAGAATATTATTTGAATTTCAATTTAGGGGGTAATGAAGCGAGAGCCAGGGACTGATGAAACAAAGGGTCTGATGGAAGGTTTGTATTTTTTCTTTCATTTCTTACCAACACTGACTGCTTTTCTCTTATCAGTCGTTTGAAAACCGTTTTTTCTTATTTTGAACTGTTCCTAATCATACGTTTTGCTTGGTTATAGTTGAAAAACGTTGATATTCCCTTCAGTGTGGTCGAAAGCTTCTCAACTATGCTCTAGTTAACCAAACAATCTTTTGATACAATTTTCTCTTCGGAAGACGAAAGACTTCCATCGTACTCAAATGATTCTGTTTTCAGGAGTATCAAATCAAGAGCCTCGTGAAGTCAATTTCTCTTCTTGTCTTGTTTGTGGTGATATTGCTACAGGAAGGCATTATGGAGCAATTGCTTGTAATGGATGTAAAGGTTTGTTCACCTTCCGTTTATTTGTTTTCAACTTTAAGTACTCTGTTTGGTTAACTATTTTCTCTTTAGGCTTTTTCCGTCGAACCATACGACGAGGTTACAATTATGAGTGTCGCTTTGAACGCCGTTGTGACATTTCTAAACGTGAGCAATTTAAATCTCTTCATAAGGATATAAAATTAGTTTTGATAAAAAAAACTTGTGTTACACTAATTTTTTCCTTGATCTCTGGCCTCCCAGGTTTGCAGTGGCAGTTGTTAACCCAAGTTTTAGATATAAAAAATGAATTGTCAACAGCGATTTGTTTAGATCTCATCTGATGACTTCATAGAATCATTCCATTGTCATATCATTGGCATAACTCATTACATTCTTTCTTGCAGATAATCGAGCTGTCTGTCGGTTCTGTCGTTATACGCGATGCATCAATGCTGGAATGAGAGAGGAGCAGGTTCAGGTCAGACTAAGGTTTTGTAAAGTATCCTGAAAAAATAACTTGAAAGCAATTTTATATATCCGTTTTCTTCTTTTTCACTTTTTTCAAATCAAAAATAGTGTTTGACTTTTAAAAATATCAAAAAAATCTTGATTTTCAACAGGGTTATCAATTACTTTCAGAACGAGAGAGACGTGATAGGCAAGCGTAATCGAGCGAATTCTGTAACTTTAAATGGAAGACCGATTGCTATGAAACGACATCAGAGCAGTGATGATGGGTAAGACATGAGAAAGCGCAGAAAGGGTTGATATTCTGTTTAATAGAAAGGAATCGCCTAAGAGAGCTTCTCCCGATATTCCAACATCATTTCCGTCTAACAAGAAGGACGATGTCTGGTCCGTTCCATCAGCAATTATAGACCTACTGCTGCAGTCAGAAACAACAATTCAAAACTTGAGGGATACAGTTATTCAACAAACGGGAAATGTTGAGTATGCAACAAAGCCTGAAGATTTTGTGAGTGAATTCATTTTTTCTTCGAATTGGGTTGTTTTCAGTGTTCATCATCATCCAATGGCTCGAGAACCGCAACTGTTAATGATATTTTCAAATCGATGCACAGTCAGCTCTTATTGGTTATTGAATGGGCAAAAACGCTTCAGCCGTTTGTAGAGCTGTCCCCAGACGATCAGGTTATACCACCACAAAGTTTTCTTAATGTTAAAATGTGTTTAGACTGCCTTGTTAAAAAACTTTGCTGCTCAACACGTGGTACTGTGTGTAGCATATAGGTCGAAAGAAGCTGATGATTTTTTGAAACTTTTGAACGACAGTTACATTCCAAGACCTAACCGACAGAGCCGATCGACAAGGTTTGTTACTTATTATGTTGCTTGATTCAAGTTTCTAATTTCAGTGATCAATACTTTTTTTTGCGAGACTGTGAGAGAGTTATGGATCAACTAGTAGCTCCTATGCGGTTTCTGAAAATGGATGATGCTGAATTTGTTGCTCTGAAGGCGTGTATCTTATTCAATCCCGTTGCGAAGGGTCTATCACCACATTCTGTTCTGAAAGTTCTCGAAACAAGAAGAAGAATTTTCTCCGCATTGGAAAGCTATGTTCGAAAGAATAAGCCTAGCGATGTTAGTCGCATAGGCGATCTTACTTTTTTTGTTTTAACACCATTAACAGTAAGTAGCTCTCTGATCCTTCACTTTTCTTATTTGTAATAATTATAGTCGTTAGCTAACTCTGTAAGCGAAGATGTGCTGGTGACCAAACTCACAGGAGTGGCACGAATTGACATGCTCATGGAAGAATTAATTCTGGCTGACGCAGATCAAAAACCCAATATAACGAATAGTTTACCAGGGTTAGATCATGGTTCTTCGCAACCAGCTGCTGATATAAACTATCGAAATCACTACCAACATGTTAATCAGCATACAGTTGCTCCAACTTCAGGAAGTTTACCGAATTCGCAACATAATCATTACCGAAGTGGAGTCATGTAAGTTGTTTTCTACTGAAACTGATATACTTTTCATTTATAGAAATGATACCTTGGCTGATCCACCACACGATTTTGAGTTTGACACGTACTCCAATCAGATCGGCATTTTCGATAAGTAATTGTGATATTCATATTCCTGATTTTAATTCCCACTTCCAGCTCTCGTTCCAACTCCCCTGTACTTGGAATGCTAGGTGCAGGCAATTTGATGTGGTCTAGTTCTCTGCTAGGTTCCGATTCTAGTCCAGTCTATCTACCAAACACCGGAGGCTACTGAAGATAAGTTTTACAATTGATGATTGAAAGATCTGTGAAGCTTTGATTTGCTGAATTATAAGGATCTCTTGCCCACTCACGTACATATACCCTCTCTCTTCTCACTCTCTTGCTCTCGCTCCTTCTTGAGGCAGCTAACCGTGCTTGTACACATTCGTCTATAATAATAATTCATTTATTAATCTTCTGCTTTCATTTACAAACCATTTCAACAGGTTGTTTCTAAGAAATATAGATAGTCAGTGACTTAATAATGACAGGTTTTATGTTAAGTCAATAAAAACGTATTTGTAGAAGTTTGAAATAATTTTTATAACTTTTCCTGCGGGTCAATTTCTAAACGCCTTCAAATACTGTTTTCTATACGTTGTTATGAGTTTTCATTTAATTTTTAATATTTTAACAATAAAAAAATATAAAAGTCTATTTCACTTTCATATAAGTAAAAGAATATTTACAATGTTTTTACATTCATCATATACTTTGAAGAACATCAATAATTATTTTACAGCCGTGAGGTATTTTTATTGAAGTTGAGCTTGGCTTTCTGACTGTGTGAACAGATTTTTGAGAAGAACGCACTGTTTTTGCAGTCGTGTAAGCGAACACTACCATCACGTATTCAGTCTAGTAAATGAGTACTTTGAGCGGTGGGAGGGGACGAAGAAGTTGTTGATTTGGCGGCTTTAGCAGGGGGAGTAGATACTGATGCATTGAAATCTATCAGGTCGGCAATAGGCACCTCATTTGTTTTCAAGTTTTCTTTCTGAAAATGAGATATTCTTCTGTTTTCTCTTTTTCACAATGCAAATGGTCAACATTGATTTTTGGCGGAAAAACTAGGAGAAATAGCAACTAACTAAGGTTTTATTTCCGGAAACATGAGCTTGAAGCACGGATTCCACAGAAACTTCACTGTTCATACTCGATCTGAGAATAAGGTTGGAGAAATCAGAGGAAAGTTTGTTGAGTTATTGAATTGTCATGATACGAACAAGAAATAAATTGAGTTAAGGATATGGTGAAGGAAGACCTCAAAGTTTGATGTCGGGAAAGAAAAACAAGCAGGGACGCATGTTCTCATCGACAACATGCCATTCAAAGCACAATCGATGTGAGCGCCCTCAAGAACTTTGGCTAGCATGACTAAGAAATAAAGACGGGACTTCTATTAAATATGCTCAGGAATGAGAGGAGAGGTTAAAAAGTCAACACACATGTATGGTTTTAAAATTTAGTCTTTGATGCTTAGAAAGGAAAAATTGCAATTAGGCAACAAATAATATTTGAAGAACAAGCCATAATCTTTGAAAAGACATTACTGCATTAAGCAACTGAGATACAATTTACTTTTCGTTAAAATTGATTTTATTAGCACGCAAAAGCACAGGGAAACAAAGAGGAGGAAAATGATGAAAAAAAGTTGAAAGTAAGCACTTGAAAACGAAAAACATTGAAGAGGTAAACGAATTTTTGGCATTTCAAATAAACGATATACAATAAAAGCTTTGTCGTACGCCACCGTTTTCGTGCTTGGAACTAACTATATAGGGTGGGGGCAATGGGCGGGATGTTAATATGAAAACGGAAAAACAAGATGAGAATCTGCGAGAGTGAAAAGAAATGGAGAAGGCGAATAGATTGAATGACAATGAATGAAAACGAGAGAGCAATGAAGATGCATCAACATGAAAAAGAAAAGCAAATGAGAAAGAAAATAGCACTGGAACCTCATGGTTTTCCTCATGACTTTCCGATACAGTGAAATGTTAGAGGTAATCGGAAACTGATGGAAAAAGATCAGGAAAAGGTTTATAAACTATTCTTCATTCATGAGTGATGAAATTCGCAGATCGATTAGAAAATTCAAACTGTCAAGAGTAATGAGTGGAAGAAAGCAAATTGTGAACAGGAAAGTGTGTATACAACAGAACAACCAAAGTGGTTAAAGCAGAATGAAGCTCAATACGTAATGTTTATATTGTTAGAGGAAACGATTAGTGATCTCTCATAGTTCAACCTCTTTAATAAAGCACATTGAGCAATCACCCAGTCATTCCTCCATCCTATACAAAGAAATTTATGAACTCAAATATTTTTTTCATAAAAAATGAAATCTACTATCATAATCGCTAAAGTAAACAACAGGAATAGTAGATTATTGATTTTTACTTTCCGAATTTCAAATAACCAGTCGACAAAGAAGAACCAATGATCTACTTACTCTAACTTTATGTCTTTGTTTTGGTGTATCATCTACACACGCTGCTGAACTGAGGAACTATCGAACATCAATGCGTTACCCATTTCTTACCACCTTCTTTCCTGTTCTCCCAAAACGAAAAATAGCAAGGACTTCTTGACAACATTTTCGATTAATTGATTAATCATTGCCTATAGGTGAAGACGTCATAATTTCTATATTTTAACATTATTATTCATATATACATGACTGAGATGAATAAAATAAGAATAATCTGAGAGGATTGATACTTATAGAATGAAGAACAATACTGATGACTCGTTTCGATCAAAAACGACCTAAATTCAACCGTTCAGAGCGTTCTGCATCTAGCGTTTATTAGATATTTGAGAAACATGCTCCATGAACTTGATGATACGTTGAGGTTCCAGCTCATTCATCCATTTTCCTTCTTTTTTGAACTCTGAACCTACAATTAGACCATCTGCTTCTTGGAACATGTCCAAATTAAATGTTGATACACCAGAACCGATGAATACCGGTAATCGGCACGATTTCTTAACTTCTAAATATACTATCTGAACAAACGTGAACAAGATTTTAAAAACCCAGTAAGTCTTTTGGATCTGCTTGTTTGCCGGTACTGTTTCCAGTGACAATCACACCATCAGCTAAGAAGAATTCGGCAGCCTGCGCCACTTCGCCGATTGATAAGTCCGATGTGACAGAGTGTGAACTGGAAAATTGAATAATAAAGCTACTTTTCTGATACATACGAATGCTTTTTTTTTATATCTGTGATTATGGAAACATTGTCGGCGCCTAGTGTTCTACGATATCTGAAAAAAAGAGTATTTTTTTCTAACAGCTTTATAACCTCAAAAGTGAACCGGCACAGCCATCCATCCATCCTTCGTCAGCCACATGAGAAAACACGAAGCATTCAGCTCGGATGAGATCAAAACCTTAAATTTCACGCACAGTGATGATTTCTGCACTTTCCTTGCACGGAGGGATAGAGAAAAACGTGATGAAAATAACCTGTGTTGTGAGCGACAGCTAGTGCTTCTTCGTTACAACCTGCCAGAATTTGGAGACCAAGAACAAATTTCTTCCGTCTAGAGCCAAGCACATTATTCACTTCTAATAGAAAAAAGATAATATCAAAACATTCCGGGATTAAACAACCTTGGCACGCAAGAGACATTCCGGAAACAATTTCAGGACCTATCGGTTTTTTCAGGTAAGGAATGTCATGCATATTTTCGACAATGATACCGTCCTAAGAAATTTAGTAGCCATATGGAAGGCACACTTACGATTCCAGAGTCAGCATATATAGTTGCTTCTCTCCTAACAATTTGAAGAATATCTTGCATTGAGTTTCTATTGCGAGGTGTGCTGAACAATAAAAATGAGCTAAGACAACAATCGTATCTTTACCCAGGGAGAGCAGGAACATGTATCATTCCGAACACAAATGGCCGGGCTAATTCACTTAAGGCTGTTACGGCTTTCATTACTTTCTGAAAATGAAAGCAGTAGAATACAATAGAATTAGAAAAAAACGACGAGCGGAGAAATAGCACATATTATATATAACAAACCTTCCAAAATATGACTTGAAGAAAGAAAAATATCATGAAACGACATAAGGAACAGTTGCTTTGCAGAACGGACGGTTGTACCAATCAATCGTTACATCGCTATCTCTTTGACCTATGGTCATCTCAACTATGATAAAAGAAAGCCCGTAAAGTTGACCATGAAAGCTCTTACAATTACTATTTCGAGAATTTGATACGACATTCCAACATTGTTATTCGGAGTTACCGATGACGAACCATTTGTATATTGGACACTGCGAATGTTCATTTATTAGTTTGTACATTGAACTTACCGTTGATAACAGAGTTAGACTGTTGTGGATGTGGGGGACGAAGACGATCTCCAGCGTTTAGTATAGTCACTCTTTGTCTTTCCTAAACATTTGATGTTATGGAAAAACAAAAACAAAGATTTTACTTGGAAAACTGCTCTTTCCGTTCTGATTTTTACAATACTAGCTCCTCCAACAATCAATAAGCATACGAAAATCCACGTGGAAACAATAACGATCAGAATTAGAGCCAGAGTGTTTGGTTCTAAGTGAAGAAATCTGTAACTCGAACTATATCGAAACTATACCTGTACGAGCTATAAGAACTATTATGTTGGAACTAGTTAAAGGTTCCACCAGTAATGATTCACCTTGAAGAGATTGTAAACTGTACTCTTTGTATTCAACCTGCTCCTGAATATTTAAAACATGCAAACTTAAAAATACTCAAGAGCACTATACCAGAAGCATCAATGCGATCTCCTCGGCATCCAAGGCGTTTTTCTCTTCCTTGAACGGCTTTGTAATAGTAAAATTGAATACTATGCCTGAAGCATGTATAATGAACAATCGTTCTGACCCTCCATCTCACCAGGAACTATGATAGCGTTCCGAATACGAAAAGGTGAAATCCCAAGAGTTTCGGCTAAGCTTAGCGCCCATGACTGAGCTAGTGTTTCCGAATTGTTCGCCACAGCATTGTTATAAGAGCCCATTATGTACATCATGATTTTTCGAGCATCGGTATCCCCATCTAGATCTTAAACACTTTCTTATATTTTTTTTGAGAATGAAACTAACTTCTAAGCTTTACAAAATAAGTAGTATTGGAAACTGTAACGTTTCCAAATGCTTTGAAACCGCTAATCGAACTCACTGACTTGAGTATAGCCTGAGTTGCCTTCAAACAGTGTATTGAAATAATCATACTGAGTGGGAACATACATAACTGTTACTGACTTGATTAGGTCGGAATGGTGGACGAAGAGTTAACTCAATGACTGGCCGGCTGGAGTTTGACAGGACAGTTGCATTCACAAACCTGCCAGTCAAACCAGTAGCCCAGACAAGCCGTGTAACAAAAGAATTCAAATCATCTTTTGAAATGAAATTTGAATATGTCTGTAAAGCAGAAGTAGTGAAAATCAGTTATAATCATCTAACCAAATTGAAGGTGAATGTTATCTCATTATAAACTGGCATAGGTAATGGGGTTGGAGGATGCACTTTGAAAACTCTAAAAAATATGAGCTGTACTGCACTTTGCTACAGCGATGAATATTACCCCAATATACCCGTTTGAGTACAATAACACTGTTGATAGATGAGATTGCTGATCTCGACAGGATAATCAGCCGCTTCACAAGCTGTGTCTGTCCAGGCATTTTCCACAATCACGTAACACTAAAGAGCTTTGTTCAAAAAATTATTTTTTTTCTTTCAGCGAACCGCATAATAATTGGCAGCTTGGTAGTTCACGATCGGAATGAACACATTGTATACAACGGAAGAAGTTTCGTGGATAACATCGTTGCCATTCATGGGATCTAAGAAAGATATCTGAAAGAGGTGAAATAATGATCTGAGATAACCTCTGGAACTTACTTTATACAAATCTGATACACTTTTATTCAAGCTCTGCAGTCCTGCATTATCCAAAAAAAGTCGAGATTGTAATTGCTGATTAACACTGAAGAATCAAAATGAAGAAAATCATTACTTCAAACAGATATCAGTGAATCAATCAGCACAGTATGTATAAAATTTAATTCAAGATGTGCACGTGAGCATTCTCGTCACGATATGTTGTGTTACTTGTAATTTCGCAACAAACGTAAACTCAACCTCATTCTTGCGTATGCCAACGCGTTAATAATCATTCTAACACATTTCAATATCTCCACGTAAGACGTGGCGTTTTTCTATTGGCTATTAAACCGTCACAGCTCATTTGAATAAAATGAGTTTGTTATTGACAGTCTGATCATACACGTGGCATTTTTATATATCTGATAGTCCATTCAAAAAGTAATCACGATTATTATTATCTAGAAAAAGCTTTACTGTTAGATATTTGCAATTTCCAGCAATAGGTATAACCCATTTGATACTTATGTTATTTATAGTTTTTTAAATTTGAAGAGTATTCAAAAACTCAAAAAACAAGTTTCCGGAAGCTCGATAAGGATTTGGAACGCCTATAGGTACGCTCTTTTTGAAGTTATTTGAAACTTACGCTGCCGCTTTGATACTAATTCTCGCCGATGCTAGACACACATGATAACACGTAGTGTATTCACCGCAACTCCATTGCTTGAACATTTCCGAAAAGGTGTCAGTAAATGCAATCTGCAAATGGTATGGCTAATTTCGATACCTATTAGAAGTGATTACATTGGTTATTGAAATGCCTGCGGTTGAAAAAGTTGTATTTTCGAAATTATTTAAGTTAGCGTTGATACTTTGAGCTTGAATTTTTGTGTACAGCTTTCCCTGTATGTAAATAAGTCAAAGATTTTGCATAACTCAAACGAACTGCTGCTTTCATAGCCCAGTCAGCGTTCTCATCTAATTGAGTACAGAATCCAATGAGAAAGTCGCTAATTGTGATGAAGTATAAGTCTACCGCCGATGCTACACCTTTCCCCAGTATATTATCAGCTATTTCGAGCATCGCAGCAGCCTTCAATGTTTCAATTTAAAATTCAAATCAGATTTCAAGCTTCAAACTTCAGCTTCATTAACTTTATCTGAGCTAGATTTTGTGAGCGGGACACTTCGTCTTCGTCTAGCACCGGGTGTTGAGTTTATCTTACCCACAAATGTCCGATATGTTTGTATCAAATGTACGACTTGATCAACAACATCTTTTGATACATAATCAAGCAAGCTTGAAGCGGCATGGACTACCTCTCGATATTCAAGTGAAGAACTAAAGCTTAATATTAGGAATAGTTTTCATTTCAAGAACCTGGTAGAATCAATGCTCTTGAGTAATTCTAGAATAGTTTGGTCAACTAGAATAGAATTCAAACTTTTATCACATTGCTCCAGCTCCAATGCATAGAGTTTGGCAAGAGCAGAGAAGAAGTTTCCTCAATTGTTAATTTTTTTTTGCTTCGTATGTATGAACTCACTGTTTTTTATATCTACATTTATAAGAGACAGGATGTTAGCTGTTGTCCATGATCTGTTCTGACTAGGCGCTACAGAGAATGATTCTGACTCTGCTATTCGACAAGTTCCATCATTGCAAGCTTCTAGCACAGCTCGGCTTCCGATTCTATCGTGACAAGCGGCGGGGTTAGGCCAAGCTTAAGATTGTACTTGGTTATACTTATGAAAGCCTATAGCACCTGAAGGTAAATAAAACGAAAGGATACGAGCAGACGATTGAGGCATCCATATTGTTCTGCTGCGGTTTGTATGTATTGTCTTAAGCTTTTGTGAAGAGAGGCAATACGATCGAAACTCACTGTGAGGCCAAAGCGAAAAAGTAGTTTTCCAGTGTCTAGTTGATCCCAGCCATCTCCGACTTCGAAACTTACAGGTGTTTGTAATGCAACTATATTCTCTCGAGGATGAACCTATTCGAATTATTTTACATCCTCAGTTAGTTCCTCTACCTCGACTTTTCCCGTTCGGGGTATTGCGGCGGTTAGGATTGTAACATCATAGTTCGATGTACCATGTGATGAGCTAGCCAGTAGTCGAATAATATACTTAGATGACGGTTTCAATCCGGTCCATTTCGGGTATCTGCATATATGGTCTGAGAAGAGCATTATCTGATGACTAGTACTAACTTCTTCAATTTTTTTGGAGGAATAGTCAACGATACTGCTATAGATTTCCTTGGAAGTTTTTGAAAAACAGTTGACGTGTTTTTCAAAATATGATTTATGTCAAACCAGGCTGTTAAACTTCATGCAATACTAAATATTGTTATGACTTACTTGAGGTTTCTGATCGCACTACAATCCAAGTAACGTTTAATGGCGAGTAAGAACTGCTTACGAATGCTTGAATCCTTGATTTTTCATTAGTACCGTGTATCTCAGTTCATAGAGTACCTTATATAGTCTTGATTATCTTCCCTTTCTTTCATGGGTTGCACAGTTATCAACGGAGACTCTGCTTCTGTAATCGTGACTATAGTTTGGACACTTCCGTTCAAAGCATTAGATGACGATAGAAAATTGGTGAACTTATATCTGAAATTCAAAATATCGATACTACTCTGGTATTTTCACACCTGGTGCCTTCTCTAAGCATAAAAGCAGATATTTCTAACACGGATCGATTCCATTCCCAGTCTGTGAAATTTGTTAAGCCACAAGACTTATTCTCGGAGTCATAGTCATCGATCTCACATATCCATTTATGGCTCATTCTTGAATCCACCGAGTTGTAATCACGACAAGCATCAGCATCTAGTAGTAGATCTCGATCTATAGGATGCTCGCGAGAGTACGCCGAATCCATTGATAAGTACAAGGGTTCAGCTTCGTACTGAAAAAAAGTTTTTTCTTCGCCATATAGTTTTCTAAATTATAACCATGAACGCTATTGTATCATAAGCAACATAAATACTGCTGTTGACTTCGGCGTATGTTGCTTTGATTGATATATTCAATCTAG